TAGATAGTCTATTATATTCTTATTTCCATCTAAAAAAGCTAAATTATTTATATAATAGATTAAACTTAAAGAGAAACCCGCATAATACTATTTATATAGTTTTTCTCGGCAACCGTACTTTCTAATAACTATCTTATTAAATATTAGGTACTGTAAGAGTAGTCTATTATTTTTATTTTTTTAATCCAGTTAACCTCTTTTATTCTTTTTATTTAGTTAATCTTTTTAATTTATTTAATTTTTTTAACTTTAAGTATCTTAGAGACCTGCTATTAACTATACTAATCTTACTTTATTTATTTAGTTTAACCGACTTCTCCGCGTAATAATAATATATATTTTAAAGTCTTTCTGTATTTTTCTTCTCTTTTTTTTCTCTTTTTATACTTAAAATTCTTGTATTTTAATATTAAATAAATTAGTTTTTAATTATTTAAACAGTTCTTACAGATACTGTATCTTTTATAGAAGACTTTATATAAGCCTTTTTTAGACTTTTTTTATAAATATTAAAACAACCTGACTAATCTGACTAATCTAACTAACTAAAATAAATAAAATGCGGCAGATATCTTAGCTGTATTTAAAATATAATAGATTATATTTATATAAAAGCACGTTTTAAAGTAAAACAAACTATTTTTATAAAATTTTCTACTTTTTTTTTTTATATCTATTATTTATAGAGTAGTCTTAAAATTATAAGTTAATTATAGTTATCTGGCTTATTTTTAAAGAATATTATTAAGTCTTTTTTTTCTGTTTTTTAAATATTTATAAACCATAATAATACTTAAACTAAAATAAGCTTTTTAAGTCAGATCTTTTTTTTTTCTTAAATCTCCAGATTACGCGCGTCGCAAAAAATCGAAAGATTATTTTATATCTAATTTATAAAAAAAAGTACTTTACTTTTTAGAATTAATAGCAGAAAATAATCTTTTTTAAAATCTATATACAAGCTCGAAAACTGCTATTTTACTTCAGTTAAAAGAAGATATTAATAATATAAAACAGCTTTTAGAAAAATATATTATTTTCTAATAAAATCTTTTATATTTACTGTATTACCTGTCTTTATATTCTATAACACCCGGAAATTAAAAACTTAGAAACTAGTTTTATAAGCTATTATCTTCGCAAGAATTATAAAAAAAAAATACTATTAGTAGTATTTAAGCGAATAATTAGTTAGATACTAAATAAAAAGCTATTATAGATATTTATTTATTTTTTTAATATAGATTTTTTTTAATTATTATTTTTTTTAGGCCTCTACAACCTACAATAAATAAAATTTTTAGAATTAAATCCTATACTTTATAATTATCTGTTGCCTACTATTCCGAACTATTAAGTATATTTAATTTAAATAAATAATTAATCTTATAGTTTTATTTTTTTACTAAAAATCAAGTTCTTTTAATCGAGTATAGATTAAAGAACATCTCTTAAAATTATTAAAAAATATATACATACAGCTGTTATTAAAGTTTTTAGATATTAAAAAAATATCAGTTACAGTAGACTGCTGAACTAGTTCTAATTAAAAAATATTTCTTATTTTAACTGGATATTTTTTAATAGAAGATATAAATTATTATAAAGTTCTACTAGACTTCCGACCGGTATCTAGATCTTATACTAGTAAGAATCTAGCTATAATTATTCTATTAGTTTTATATAAATATAATCTGTTCTATCGGTTGTTAGATATAATAACTAATAATACTAATAATAATAGTTTAATATTTAGTATAATTTTATCTAAACTTCGAACTTAGTTCAGCCAAAGTACTCAGCTTTATAATATTTTACTTAATCCTGATCTTATAATAATTATTTAAAGCTAGTATTATATATTTTGTTTTACTTATATAATTCAGCTTATAGTTAATATTATTCTACAGAAACTTTAAATTAAGATTTTAAACAGTACTGTCGAATATATATAAAAGAATTATAATAGAAGTCTTAAAGCCTCTTCTGGTATTTTAAGAACTCTTAAAAAAATATATTCTAAAAGCTATTTGTAAAAGACTAATACAGAAAGTTTCTACTATAGTAGAGACTATCTAAATTAGTTTTTTATAAATAGATTTTAAAAATCTTCTTTTAATAATAGCTAATAATACTAATTTTTAATTATAAATTCGGAAGATTATATAATTTGTAAATATAAGCTCTTAATACTGTAAAAAATTCTAGCTTATTTAATAATTTAAATTAGACTCGGTTTACTATCTTCTTTTTAACTGTAAAACTTACTGAAACTTAATCTATCTTATAATTCGCCAGATACTTAATTTTTATTAAATAATTAATAGTTTTATTCAGTACTATAATTATAATAATATTAATTATCTTTATTTTATTATAATTAAGTAGAAATAGATAGAGTATCTTTTTAAGCTTTTATATCTTTTTTTTTTTTTATATTATATCTATCTAAGAATAGTAGGCCTACTGTTTATAAGATCTATAATATTTATAATAATCTTTTTAATTATTTAGATTATTTAATTAACCGACTGATAAGAAAGCGGATATTCTAAAAAAAGAAAATTCTTAAAAACTTGTAGAATATATATTAAAAGCTTCGAAAATACTACTATTATATCTACCAAATAGAAGACTATATTTATATAATTATAACTATTCTAGACCCGATATTAAAGCTTGAGAAGTTTAAAAAGAATATCTAGCTGGATAATAATACTAATTAGTATTTTAAGTACCAAACTGTTTTTAAGAAGATGTTCTATTTCTATTATAATCAGAATCTGGTTATTAATATATTATTAACTATTTTTGGGTTATTGTCAGGCCTGAATAAAGTCTTTTATAATATCTTTAAATATTAAAAACTCTTACCGGCAGCCGAGATACTTAAAGAACTTAAGATATATCTAGATATTAAAAATATATAGCTTATTAAAATATTTTTAATTAAACTAATATTATTCTAGATATTATAAAATATATTAATATTTTTACTTACTGAAAGTCCCGCCGTAATTAGTTTTTTATTTTTTATTAAATAGCTAGAGATTTTCTTTTAGTTGCTATTAACGGTGTTAGTATTAAATATCTATTTAATAATTTTTAAGATATCTGCTACTATCGCCGGAGCTGTCTCTATTCTAATATAATTAAAGCAGTAATATTTTAGATATATACTAATTATTTTATTATTAGTAAGAAGTATCAGAATATTCTTAATAATTTTAATCCGGATTCGATCATTTTTACACCTAAGAAATAAGAGAAGAATAAGATAATTATTATTTTTTATATTAGTAAAAATAAGAATATAGATAATCTTGAAAATAATCCAGAAGATAAATTATTATTAAAAACAGAGAAGCTAGCTTTATCTAAGTCTTCGAATATTATATATACTTAGATAAAAATAGAGACCCGGCTTTTTCGATTTCTTCGCTACTATAATTATCGTTCTGGACAGTATAAAAAGTAGTATAATCTTATTAGTTTATTTAATATTAAATTCTATATTTCTTATACTAGATTCTATAAATATTTTTTTTAAAGCGTAGTATACTCCTCGGGACTACAAAAAAAGAGATTAAGCAGGTCAAATAGATTAAATAGATTGAATAAATTAAATAGATTAAATAGATTAAATAGATTAAATAGATTAAATAGATCAAACAGATTAAACAGGTTAAATAGGTTAAACAAATCGAGCAGATAAGCTAAATCTAGATAACATTATTATACTGTAATTAAAAGTATATTATACTTTGTATATTATCTGTATAAAAGAAATATATATATTATTAATTAATCTACGGTTATTAACCTACCTGCTATACCTAATCTTTCTGACCGGCAGGTATAAATAGTTAAAATAATAATTATATTTTAATCTAACTGTAACCGTACGGTTAAAATTTTTTTGTACCTTAACCTGACCGCCAGGTTATGGTCAGGTTAAGGTTAAGGTATAATGGTCAGGTTAATCCACTCTAATTATATTTTTGAATTATAGAACGGACTAATTTAAATTATTTTTAGATTAGCTGGGAGTCCTCGCATTTAGTATATTAATAATTATATTTTAAAATAAATTTAGACTTTAATTTAGAATAATATTTAATAAAGCAATTGACCCAGCGTTCTGATATAGATTTATATTAGTTTAGCTTTATTTTTGTTTGAAAAAGTAGTTCGGCTGAGAATTGAGTATTATAGATTCTAAGAAATAATCCGCGGCGTGCTATATTAAGAAATTACTACTTTAATATATTTTTTTTAATTAAGAATAGCTTCTTGCAATTAGCATTTTTTTAAGTATAAGATTTAATACTATTTAGGCGTTTTTTAAAAATATTAATTTTAATATTAAAAGCTGCAGCGCACGCGGTCTTTGTAGAGAATTTTCCGCGTTGAAAAGTTTTAACAGCGAGAGCTATATGTTTATTTTTATTAGTTATATTATAAAATACTAAGAATCAGAATAATTTGGTAATCCAAGTATGTTTTCCGGCTTTAAAATGGTTAAGATGGTCAAGTATGTTGAGGATTTTGGTGAGGGCTGGTGCGGCCGCCGGTTCGGTGTCGCGCCGGTTCGGTGTCCGATTACGTTATTCATTGTGACCAGAACTCGCACAAAACGAATAGAATCACCGCGCAAAATAAAAAAGTGATTGATCAATTGAAATGAATCATCTGGTTAACTTAGACAATTGATGGGGAGAGATTAGCATGGTGATGTTGTACAGCAGGTATAGTACAGGCACAGGCACAGAGATCATTCAGGTTAATGAGGCATCTACTCGGTCGGCGCAATTGGCCCCGCGGCCCTAGCCACAGTATCGTGGCTGAAGATCAGGTGACATGGAAGTGTGGCTGCGACAGCGGTGACTCCGGCTTCTTGGGTCGTGGCGGCTCGACCCGCTCTCGTACGGCAACCGGGAAGTTACATGTAGTAACACCTCCGTGCTGTCGTACTGCCTCCTGCACCGTAGAAGAGACCTCCTGTACTACCATGCCCACACGACGTAGAACAATGCCACCACCCGACCGAGAGCAAGATCCCTGCAGATGAGCGCCATTCCCGTACTCCACACTACCTGTACATGCGTGATACCGTTAATTGGCTGGCTCACGCGCCCCGGTCACGTCGATATCGGCCCGGGTGCATCAAGCATCACCAGACCCTGCAGGGCTCACACACTCATCGCACCATGGCACTTGCGATAGTTCTACAGTACGAGATGCGACGAGTACTGCATGTTGCTTTTGTCGTTAGCGTTGCAGTCTCACGCGTCTCGCCAGACAGTTTGACTCAATTGCCGCAAGAAACAATCTCGCGAGCCCAGACAGTTGGGAATCGTGGCTTCGCTCTCGTTGCATTCAGGACGGTGGATTGGTACGAGATATCAAGGTAAGAACAATTAGTCTTGTCCCCGACGGAGTACTTGGCTCACATTGAGTGACCTTTTCCAAGATTAAGAATTGGCTCTGCAGATGCCATGTTTATGGAGACCAGGCTTGTTTTGTCGTTGACGTTGCCACTTTGACAGCTTTGAAGTGGGCACTCTTCGATACTATAGCTGTGAAAGAGACCTTAAAAAGTTTGAGACTACACTCCACAACCAGGCCAAAGCCGGTATAAGGAAGACGACTCGTTTAGTGGACCACAACTACAAGCTGACGATCACTTTGTTAAGCCTAGCTTTAATAGAAGTGGTAATCCATCGCTGACCTATATTGATGGCATTTCGGCTTGACAATCGACAGTCAAGCTGATGTGTGACAATGGCGTCCGACCTAAGGGGATGGCCGACGTGTGGACCCTGGTCGCATCAAAAGAGTCCGTGCAATGTCGCCCCAAACTGGTCTCCGCCCAGACGGGAGAAGCTTCTAGTGCTCTATAGTAAAAGCAAGGGGCACTGATATATGGAAGTTCCAGCATTCAATCCCAAACTTTGCCAGTAGCAGTTCACGACACTCACTTCCCAGCGTAAGACATGCACGCCAGGAAGAGAAATGCGATAAGCATCCTTCAGAGCAGGGCGACCAATATTGGTCCAGAGCAGTCGAGAGTTCCAATAAGGGTCACGCTAGTACTGCATAGATCGGCATACACATGTGCATCACAGTAAGAACTTGGGCCGCGGTATGCGAGGTGAAGAGTCGGTGGCGGTTGGCGGGCCCTAAGTCGGACGATCTCCACCGTCTGCGTGGATCCGATTGACCGGGCCCCGCCGCCGATTGTCAGTGCGCATCCGCTCGTTGGTCGCCGACCTGCGCTGGGTCAAACTTATTTCCTCTGGTGCTGTGAGGGGTAAGCTGACAGCCTGCAAGACCCAGACACAATCGCCCCTGACAGAAATACATGTACCTTTCCCCCTGCACCCCGATCGATCGAGTTCTTCACCCTTTCCGAAGTGATCAGTTGCTGAACCACAATGGCGTCAATCGGTGATTCGACTCCTTCTACCACCGTGGATGTGGACCAATTCACTCAGTCAATCAAGGGTATCGACCGTACATCCTTTGCGTATGATGGCGACCGAGTTAAAGCGCTGAGAGAGGCGTACGCTTTGATCAGTCGTTTGGAGACTTCGTGGGATACCGTGGCGCGGCTTTGCATTACAGAGGTAGAACGTCTGGCCCGTAATAATGAGTCTGTGGCCCTAACACTTCCTCCAGCCTGCCCTGACCGCGGCCCTGAAAGTGAGCCAGGACCTACAGCTCTTCGAGAAATGGCTCCATGTAGGAGAACAGGCGGAGCAGTCGACTGCACAGCTTGCTGAACTGACCAACTCAGACCCCGTCCTACTCGGTAAGACAACCGGCATGCAGCGGACATTGCAATGCATCTGCCCACAATCCTAAACCCTGATTAGGTCGCATCCTCCGCCATCTGGCATCCACCAACATCATCATCGAGGTCTCCGCCGACCACTACAAGCAATCCGCATTCAGCAGATCCCTCCTCGAGCCCGTCTTCGGAGCCTGGATTCCATTCTTGTCCGTACCCGCTGAGTCCCCTGACACATACCTAATGCACTGACCCCCAATTCAAACCCAGACACGACACAGTGAACCCCTGCTTCGCCAAAATGCCCGAATACCTCGCCAAGACCGACTACCAGAACCCCACCGACCCCAACGACGGCATCTTCCAGTACACCAAGAACTCCCCGGGCTCGCTCTTCGACTACTACGCCCAGCACCCGGCCCAGAGCGCCGTCTTCAACAACGTGATGGGCAGCGTCATGGCCAAGCAGGCGGGCATGCTGGACATTTTCCCCTACGACCGGCTGGCGGACGACCGGCCCGATGACGACTCGGTGATCCCGCTCCTGGTCGACGTGGGCGGCAACGTCGGCCACGACATGAACAAGTTTCTGGGCAAGAATCCCGGCCTCGCGGGGCGGCTGGTGCTGCAGGATCGCCCGGAGGTCGTGCGCCAGGCCATCTGTCCCGCCGAGGTGCGCGCCATGGCGCATGATTTCTTCACGCCGCAGCCGGTTAAGGGTATGCTCCTCTTTCCCCACTTTTATTGTTTGTGCCCAGACTGAGGAGGGGGGGGTTCCAATGGCAAAGTGTACGGTGATGAAGTGAATGGCTAACGCATGATTGGTGTGATATTGACAGGCGCGCGGGCCTACTACCTGCACGGGGTCCTGCACGACTGGTCGGATGCGCTGGCCCGGCAGATCCTGGAGCACCTGCGCGATGCGATGACCCCCGGGTACAGCACCCTGTTGATCCACGACCATGTGATCCCGGCGGTCGGGGCGCACCCGCAGGCCACGGGCTACGATCACACGATGATGGTGCTTGTGTCGGCGTTCGAGCGCACCGAGGGCATGTGGCAGGACCTGTTGGCCTCGGTGGGGCTGCGCGTGGTGAAGATCTGGAGCTCGCCGCTGGCGACGCAGAGTGTCATTGAGGCGAAGTTGAGTGGGGATAGTTAGGGGTATCTGTATAGGCGGTTGGACAGCTTGAAGCAACAGTTTTATTTGTGCCAGAAGAATGAACAGGCAAGTTGGCTGGTTACAGGGCTATGATATATGTATAAGCCCGATAGTCTATTATGTTTGTCTGAACAAGATGGTCCTGGACGAGACATAAATTTTCAGCATTGTTAAATATTTTGACTTGAGTATACACTGCATACACCTGGACTGTGGCAGAAATCTGACGTGTCACAGTGATGCTTCCTACAGTCTTGACACATGTAAAGACTCATCACAGATCTGCTTGGTAAGCATAACAACACCACTCGATCACCAAACAAATCAAACAAACTCCCAAAGTTGAAGCCTCACAAGACCAACTCCGAACAATCCAAAGGCTAGGGTATGAGACTGCGAAAACAAGTAAACCACCAAAACCAAGCCCACGAGCTTCAACTCTCATCACCATCCTCCCCCTCCCCCTCCCCCTTCCCCTTCCCCTTCCCCTCATCCTCACCACCAGCAGCCTCCGCCGCCTCCCTCAACGCAACCACCGACCTCTTCTCCTTCTCGACCCCGGCCCGCCGCTGCGCGGTATCACAGAGCCGCAAATCCCCACACTCGCACTCCCCGCCCTCCCTCAACCACCGATACGTAATACTCCACCGCTCCCCCCTAACCCTCACCCGCGTCTCCCCACCGTCCAGGGATACAAGATCGGTCTTCCGCTTCTTAATCCCATGCGTCCAGAACAGCCTCGCATCGCCACTCATACACATCAAACTGCGCGGCTCGCAGTCGACCTCGACGCGCTCGTCCCCGCGCCGGAACTCCATCAGCACGGGGGCGCCCAGCGACAGCGCGTAGAGCTGGTCGTACGGTCCGTGGGCGTCCACGTGCGGCGGGATTCCCGCCCCCGGCGGGTAATACTGCAGGCAGACCTGGTCCGGGGCGCGGGGCTCGCGGGCCGGGAGTAACGGGACCAGCCAGTCCGGGAACGGGCGGTAGGGGATGGCCGGGTCGATGTTGAAGGTTTTGTAGTCGAAGGTGTAGCCATAATGTAAGGAGATGCGGCCGGGGCGGGTGGGCCATTGCAGGTCGTGCCGGAAGATTTGGAGGAGGGTGGCTTCGTGGGCGGGCGTGATGAAGTCGGTTTGCCAGAGGAGGCCCCGCGGTTGGATGGGGAGTTCGTGCATTGTGTTTGTTGGTCGGGGATGGGTTGGTGTGGGGGTCTGGGGTGGTGGAGGGTCTGGTTGTGTGCCCTTAGTGGACGAGGCGGGTTGTATGTCTAGGTCCATGTTCAACGGGTGGTTTATTATTTTCTAGGTCTTTTTGTAATTCTGGTATGTAAGAGGCGAGGTATGGGTGACTTCTTATTTATTGATAGCATGCTATCGGGGAGGAGCGCCACGTGATGGTCGACAAACTCTGATCGGCTTTGGCATGGCAGATAGACAGCTGATTGGTGGTTGCCTCTCCACTGGTGCCTGGAGCACGTGACTGTCCCCGTGGGTAGATGACTCAGCTGGCTCAACAGAAGGCCCATTGCATAGAATGGGTGAATTTCCTATCATTGAACCAGAAAGTAGCATACAAAGCCAGATAATGTGACATAATACAGTCAGGGGCCAGACTCATTTGCGAAACGCACTCTAGAACTCATTAGACCATCGATAGGATGCAAGGACAGATACAGCGACCAGCCATCACGCCAGTGGTTCATGTCGAGTCCAGCACTCTCTGCAACGGAGCTTGCAATTTGAACTATTTCTCCCCCCAAGCTGGATATAGCTCTGGAACGCTTCTCCACAGTGACGGCACTCGCAGATATCATTGATAAATTCCAGATTGGCTTTCATTTCTCGGAATTTTCGCTCCATGTGGTCTTTCTGAAGCTTCAAACAAGATACCTCAAGTTCGAATGATTTCAGGATTGAGATAACCTGCCGCGAGAACAGATGTGGAAACAGGTTCTCGTTGTTCGGGAAGTCATTCAGGTGTTCAACGACCATGGTGCATAGATAACCTCGAGTTGCCTCATGAGGAATGGAAGGATAGACTTCCGAGACCAAGTCGTCGAACCCAGCAGGCGACCAGGGCTGTTCTGAAGCCGTCGTTTTTATTCTTTTCAGTGCTAAGGCTTCCAGGCCTGGCAGCATGTAGTAGCCCGCAATCATACTCATCTCGAGATGAGGGCGCAGGGCCTCCGCAGTTGTGGGTGGTGTGGAGGCGGTGGTCTTGGGAGCCGCCTCGGTGAAGCAGATGAGGTCGGATTGGGTGTCTGTTGTGGCAGCGGTGGGCGGATTCAAGATTGTCTCAACGGTAGGCTGCGCGATTTCTTGTACCTCTGTTAGTATGTACCCGGATACGAACACACAAGATCCTTGTACCAGGTCCACATACCTGAAGCCCATCTGAAATCGTTTTTCAACGTATAGTCACCGAGGTACATGTACTGCACCATCCGCTTCACGGTAGCTAGAGAGAAATCTCGGATCTGGATGACGTTGGTGCGACCTTCCTTCTTCGGCTTTAGACATTATACCTGACTAGAAATACTCAAGATGACTAGCCGTACCATGAAATTACTCTTGCAAGCAGTTTTGATCACCTCCGACTCATTCCAGACCACGATCCTGTGGACGGTGAGCCTCACCCCATCACACTCAAGTTCCAAGTCGCATAGCTCCTTCGCTTGAGCATCTTTGAGCATCTTAGAGCTGTATGTCATCTTGTGGACTGGGCGGCGACTTTGGAATCAAATCCGAGTTTGCCAGACAGTGTTGCGAGAAGACTGGGCCGATAAGCTGGGAGAGTGAGCGCGATGTCAGTGTATGGGCATCGGGAGTTTTGCGTGAGTGTTATTGTTTCCAGTCAACCCCGAGAGTTAAGGACAAATTATGAGAGATGTGTGGAAGAATGGGGTTCGTGTTATCTTGGTGTTAAGATGGGTGGGAAAGAGACGCGATTTCACGGTCAGATGAAAGATGAAAACAGTGGGTGTGAAGAAGGTGAGGTAGAAGGGTAGCTGAGCGAAGCAAGTTAGAGAAGAAGAAGAAGAAGAGAAAGTGGGCGAAGAAAGTAAAGAGGTGCAGTTGACGGCCTCAGGCATGTTGACCAAGTCTGCTCCAGAAGGTCTTCCGCAAGTGAATGCGATACACTCAGACCTCTGTGTCCCCCTTCAAACCACCCTACTCGTTTCAAGCAAACCAACTTCAAGTGAACATTTGCAACTCATTTGTCCTGGTAGTACATTATTGGACCTCGCTTTGAACCCTCAGTCCATGCTGCTGGATGAGCGGTGATGCCTTTGCAACCGTCTTGGGTCTTCTACACAGATTCTTGTCACACAGGTGATCAGCCTGACAACATGTGTAGATCATCTTAGGTATGATGAGATGATTGCTCGTTTGTTTATCATCAAAGCTACTGTGAATAAGCCTTCAACTCTCCCACATCCACAGAGCGAATTGCAGTATTGGGGGGATATCTGACCGAGTTGCGAGGACCTTGAATTAATCAAACACCGCTATAATCCAACCATCCCACGAGCGTGTCTACTCCTCCCATGCATACTCCGGCAACTGATACCTATCAGTATTGGCAAAAGACCCCGCAAAGAACCTCTGCGTGAGTTCCAGAATCCCACTCCAACACAGGAAAGCAAACACCGTATTCCTCAGCCACAGCCCCCAAGCCGTCTGCGGTGTGAAAATCGCCGGAAGAAACCGGGGCACCTTCTGCATGTCATCAATCAGGGGACGCATTACGTCCTCATACCCCCGCAGGGCACCCGCGAGATCGCCCTTGTGCTTGCAAACCTCCCCCGCCAGCACGTACGCCCCCGCCATGGCAAGACTTGTCCCGGTGCCCGTCGAAGCGGCGTACCCGGCATCCCCGACCAACACAAACCGTCCCTTCGACAAGTGTGGCAGCTTGACATGCACGATCTCGCTGGCGTAGAAGTCCTCCGCCTTCATCATGTCCTGGATCACCTCGTCGCACTTCCAGCCGGCGCCGCGGTAGGTCTGCGCCACGAATTTCTTGAGTGTATCCTCGCCCTGTTTCATCGCCTCCCGGAACGACTCAGTGGCATCTCTGCCGTGGGTTGGTGGCTGGTGCTTGATCATGACCACCCGATTCACTCCCCATGGGTCAGGCGCAGCGGCGATGAAGCGCCCGTCCACAGCATTGTACGCCTTGCCGATGTTATCTCCCGCTCCTAGGAGATCTTGCTTGATGGAGAAGTAAGCCGCCCAGCTGCCAGTCGGAACAAGGTGATCCCGCACGCCGACCCCGAGTCCTATCGCGCGGGTCCGCGAAGTCGCCCCGTCGCAGCCCACGACGAGGTCGAATTCCGCTGCAGGGGAGCCGTTGGCAAACTCGACCATCACGGAGCTATCCTCGCCTTTCTCGCCGTGCTGCTGGATCGAGGCGACCTGTTCGCCGAAGATATAAGTGATGTTGGGATGCGACGCGGTGCGGTCGTATAGAATCCGGGATAAGTCCCCTCGGTAGATCTCGTACTCGGAGACGAGAGACTGCTGGTCGGGGTCGCCGGTTGTGGAGATGATTCCATACGGGCGGCCATTGGAGCGGACGAAGCCGATGCCCGCCAGCGGAATGGTCTTGGCCCGCACCGCCTCCTCAAGCCCGGACATCCGTCGCATCACCGTCACGCCCACGGTCCGGATGTCGATGTTCTGGCCGTTGGTGCGCAGGTGCGGGAACCGCTCGATGACGGTGACCTTGGCTCCGGCTCGGGCGAACCAGTAGGCCGCTGTTGGGCCGGCGATCGATGCGCCCACAATGAGGACTCTAAGCTGCGGCATAACTCTTGGATTCGACCGGACGTGAATGTTGTTTGTTGGGATGGAACAGTGGTGACCATGAAGGGGTTTTTTATACTATATGGGCGCTGATAGCGGGATTTTCTGATTGGCTGGATGCTCGGCCGCGGACGACCCGAGGATTTGACCAATGGAGGACCAAACCGGACCGGGATTGGGGCAGTTTGAAAGGTCCGTTTCCAGCCTCACTGCGGAACGGGGATGGAAACAGGTTCCGACTCCGTGTCATATATCCTCTTCTACGAGGAAGTTTTGAACTCTACCCCCTAGGAGGAACATGTCCATGGCTTCTAATCTTCATCATCGTGTCCTTGGTGATACTGGATCAACTGATCCCAGTAAGCCCAATCCACGGCATCGAAGTCGATACCGTCGCCCATCTCTCCATCTATCCTCTCAGCCACAGAACTAAGAACCGCGTCAATGTCACTCGCAGACGGCGCTGTCAAAAACATGGTGTCGCCCCTCTCAGGGTTTGTATCTGGGGATACTTTTGGAGGCCCCTCCGTAATCCTGCGCTTCGTCGTCTGCAATGAGCGCGAGGTCGCAATGAACCCCGGCTCTGCACCCGTGTCGCTTCGCGCATGAGCATCCCAAGCTTTGAGCGTGAGTCTGCGCAATGCCACGTACAACGGCTTCGGGTCCCAAAGCTCATCATGATGACCATAAATCTGCTCAACCTTCTTCCACGCCTCCTCGATTTCCACCGGAGAGAGAACACTAGCCCGCGTCCACAGGGTCGTCAAGACGAAGATGAACGAATCGAAGGTGCCCCACAGAAAGAACGGTCGGACATGCCACCGGTACCTCTCCAGGCCCGCGTGGTCCGACACCGCCGCATCGGTATCCAAGATCTTCTGGGCGAGGTGCAAGACCTCCCTCATCTCCGCGTCCGTGGCAGTCAGATTCCGGACCTTCGTTAGCCGGACCCGAAGTCGCATGGCGGTGATGCCCGCGCGCGCCAGCCCGACCGTCAGGAAATGCAGCGGGTCGACGATATCGCAGTAGCGGGTGTACTTGTCCTCGACCTCCCGCTCAGCGGCACCGATGACCGCCTCGGCCTCGGGCAGGCTGCCGAACTTCCACGGCCCGTTGCTGCGCAGATGCGGGCTCATGCTCGCGAAGAACCGCCCGATGCAGGCGCGCGACAGGAAAAACATCATCTGTGTCGCGCCCTGCTGCTCCCGCGGGGTTGCCGTCATGCCGGGCCAGATCTGCTCGTCGTCGATGTTGAGCGGGAGCTGGGTGTCCCACGCGTCTGGCGGGATGGACACGACGGTGCCTGCCATTTGACTCGCTCGGCCGTCGAGGGGCATGAGCTGGTAGAATAGGCGTCGCCGCATCTGGACATCGAACGGGCACATTCCCAGCTTCTCTCCGTCTTGGTGGAGTCCGATCCGCTGCCCGATGCGCACGGCAACACCCGTTAGTATCCAGTACGTCTGCGAGTCATAATACTGGCGGCTGGAGAGGAGGAATAGGACTAAAGCCTGAAGGACCTGGATGTCACTCGTTTTCAGAAATGCAGCATTGACCAGCGCTTGTTGCGCTGCGGAATGATATCGTCTGCTCAAGGTACTGCGTGGATGGCCCAGTTTTAGCATGCATTCCGCATCCGTCATCACGTAGATTGAAAATCGATAGATGGCAAACACAAGACACTCATCTGCATCTGACGCTAGCTCGGGGCGGCATGAAACCCTCTCGATCATCGCAGAGGTGGAGGGGATGTGCAGGATCTTGCAGAACGGCTCCACGCTCTCGACATGCGTTTGCCACAGCAGCCTGGCGTCTGCGTGAGTCGGGTGGTACTGCAGAAGCGAGCGTCGAGAGCCCACGAGCGCACCGACCAACGGATCAGACATCAAGGTCTCGGGTGTAATGGCCATCTCTTGCTGCTCCTGCTCTTCCTCTTCGAAGACGCGTCGCACCTCCTCCTCACCGAGATTATTCCACGGATGCCCGCTGACATACCTCGACGTGCCTTCTGCCGTAAGCACCCTACCAGCCTTCGAGGCCTCGGATTCGTTGTAGTGAAACGAAATCGGCTCAGGCGAGGTATCTCTCGCCGTCGGCCGCGTGTCACCGTCCAGCAAGCCGTGCTGCCGCAGAATGCGCTCATATCGCGCGAGCCGCTCCGAGGGCTCCTCACTTGTCTTGCGTTTCCGCGATCGCGGGGTCGGTGCTCGGTATGAGCACTCGTGGTTGCCCCTGCGGCAGCTGGAGCAGCGAGGCGTCAGCCTGTCGCATCTTACCTTGCGTCTGGCGCAGGTGCGGCAAGTGAATGACATGGTGGTTGGGGCTGACGGGGCTGACGGGGCTGCTTTGCCGCTCAAACCAGCCTCCGCCGGTGCCGGCAGTATAGCTCTCGCTTTAGCTTGCATTTCGGGCTATTTGCTCCCCAATTAAACTTCGTGATAGATGAGACGAATGCTTGGGTGCTGAACATTATTGTGTCCATAACCCGATCATGGGAATGCGTCAGCACTAGCATAATTATGTAATACACGAATTACCCCAATTGTGCAGTATTTATTCTCTGCCTGCTTTCAAACTATATGAGTTACACATCAAGGCAAAAAAAGTGAAGATTGTTGGACCATGTCTCCACTGATGACTTTCCTATGTATGCGAACATTTTTAATCATTCTCTCGTCTTTTTCTCTTGGCTAATTCACGAGGTGATATATCGAAGGTGTTATCAATGTCTAGCTGTATCGGTTGAACGTACTTGGATATCATGCGCGGTGGGAAAGAGCATAATCCAGGAAATCTTGGTAGTAGATGCTAAGATGTAAGATGGAAGGTTTTATTTCACGACCACTGATTGGATCTTCATTGATAGGTTCTCCAGACGCAGTCGCGTGATATGCATGTCTCAGCTCCCCTTGAGTGGTATCAGCTATTTCCGAGTGGCATGTCCAGCCACCCCAGCTCTACCGAGCGCCCAAAAAGTCCCGGATGACCTGCAGATATTTTTCCGGCTCGTCAAACTGCGGACAGTGGGAGCTCCCCGCCAAAGTCACCCATTTCACCTTATCGATGGCCCAGAAGAACGGCTCGACGGTACTATCCTGGGCCTCGTCATATTTCCCGTTGATCAGCAGCGTGGGCACCCGGATCGCATGCAGACGATCCAGCACGCTCCAATCCTTCAGGTTGCCCTCGATCCAGAACTCGGACGGGCCCAGCCTATTCTCCGGAGGTTAAAGACATTAAACTAAATTAGAGGACGGCAGAGCCAGAAGCACATCGACTCACATGGTAGACGCGACGGTGGGATCCGTCTCGGTGGCCCAGACGATACTATCCACAAACTCCTGCGGCCAGGGGTCCACCCGACAGGAGAACTGCGACAGGAAGACCATGGTGGCGTCCTCGTACTCCTTCGAGTCGAGCCGCCCCTCAGCCTCGCACCGCTGCAGCGTCGCCTGCACGTCCGCCGGTAACGTCGCGCGGAGCCCGTTCACGGACTCCAACCACAGCGACACCGAGGCCGGGGCGTTGGAGAGCACGAGGCGCCGCAGGCCCCCCGCTGCCGCCGCCGGCCGCCGGATGGCGAACTCGGCGCCCAGCATGCCCCCCCACGAGTGGCCCAGGAGATCGAAGGGGCGGCCGGCCGCGAGCCCCAGGTGGGCGAGCAGGTTGGCCAGCTCGGCGACAAACAGCTCGACCGTCCAGAACCCCTGATCGCCGACTTTCTCCGGGTAGTGCGTCGACAGCCCGTTTCCGATCTGATCGTACAGGATCACCGCCCGCTGGGGGCCGGCGAGGTCGGCCAGGGGCAGCAGGTAGTTGTGGCAGAACCCCGGGCCCCCGTGCAGCACCACCAAGGGGGTGCCGACCGTGAGATCGCCGTACACGCGATACCAGGTCTGCGCGGGTCTGGGGAGGTGCTCATACTGAAATGGGGCAGTTCCTTCGTGCATAGTTGCTGCCATGATGTCAGAAGTATCCTCACGCGGGCGGTTCGTGAGAATTCGTTAGGGTTGCAGATAATGAAAGGGGGGGATAGCGCCGAAATCCAACGGCCGGAACGAACGAAGGTTAAGAGAGGGGGGGGGAAACCGTCACACAGAGCCGAATTTAATTCTCTAACCTTAGACTAGGGAGACCCAGCCAGCCCGTCCTGGAGTGACAAGGATTGAGATTCGCCGAAATTTTCCCATCCAGTAGGAAGTTGGATATGCGTGAAGTGCATGGGTGATGGGGCCACGCAAAGGTACGGATCTGCGCCAACCGGCCGAACCCTAATAGATTGCGCGGGCCACCTCCGGATCCACCTCCAGGTGAGACACTCAATCCCAGGATAATCCTTTTTTTCCGCCTCTTTTCTCTCTCCTCGTTGGAGATGTTCGTCGTGTGATCGGTTTATGAAGGAGAACCTGGATGAGCGAGGTGGAATCGTTATGGTGACGCTGACGCTCATGCAACACTGTCTGCTGCAGCCATGACTGTGGTTACGGACACGAACCGCGCCCCCGTCATCGGAATTCTGGCATGGTTTTTCATGGTCATCGCTGTGCTCTCCGGGGGAACACGGCTTCTGATCAAATATGTCATCGTCAGGAAGCTGACGATGGACGACTACCTGATCTCGGTGGCTCTGGTAGGTGTATTGCGGGAGGAGAGACCATACGGACTACCTGTTCTGACCGTGCGAGCCACTGTGTAGGTCTTCTCGGTGCTACAGGCAGCATGTGTCGCAAATGCAGCCGGCAATGGGTACGGTCAAGAGCAACGAGCTTCATCGCAGCATCAGCAGGCAGTGGCTTTGAAGGTGTGTTTGGATCCGCGTGAACAGACTTAACAGTGACTGACATCGCCGGGACTATAGTCAATCTATGCGGCGGAATTGCTCTACATCCCCTGCATCACATTCGCTAAGCTGAGCTCTCTAGCATTCATGACATTCCTGATGCAACGAACCCGCAAAGTGGAATGGGGACTGATTGCCTTCATCACAACATGGGCCATGACGTGCGAAGTTGCGGTCGCGTTCCAGTGTGGCCTGCCCCAACCGTGGAATTGGCTCACGCAGACATGCTTCAATCGTGTAGGGTGCCGATGAACCGCATTTTGACGCGATGCAAAACTCTACTAACCAAGCGAGCAGGCGGCATGGTGGTACTACTTCGGAATCACCAACATCCTCACCGAATGCGCTCTGATGGTCTTCCCCATTCTGGTCGTCTCCAAGATCCAGATGGCGGATACGAAGAAGGCGGTGGTGATCGGGTGTTTCGCTACTCGTATCTTGTAAGTGACCCGGTTCCTGTGGGTTGGACAGAATTATGAGCTGACTCAAGCCTTGACGGCGGGCTCAGAGTCGTAATCGCTATCGTGATGGAGCTGGTGTATCGAGGCCGCATGCAAGAAGATCCAGATGAGCCCCTGCTCGAGATCTGGAAGGTCGCCGTCTGCATGCAGCTGGTCCAGTGTCTGGCCATCATCGTCTCTTGCATCCCTCACCTCAAGCCTTTCATGGATGGACTACAGTCCACCGGGCTACGACTCTATCATCTACCGGGGCAGAGTTCGACGCACGAACAATATGGGTACGGGTCGGGGAAGAAGAAACGGAGCGGCACGGCGCATGAGCTGAACCAACTGCACGGGTCGGCTCACGACACGACCATTCTTGCAGAACAGCGGGAGCGCGACTGGGACGACGCGCATAGCCAGACCAGTCAGAGTCATATCATCCGTCAGACGATGACCTGGGCCGTGGAGGAGCATTACGATCCCAATGCAGCCACCGAGTCGATCACCACTGATGGAGGGTCGAATCGCAGTCAACCAGTGCGCTAGTGTGGATGGCTGGCATTGGCGGGGACGGGGAGAGGGAGGGCCACCATGGCTTCAATCTTTGACAGTAGCTTAGTAGAGCTTATCAGAATAAGGAAAAGTGAGACATGATGGGGCTGTGGGACTGAGCTTGGTAGCAAACGACTACGCGTCGGCCCAATGTGAACTCTCCACACTTGATGTATTAGTTCCCCTGCTAGTGGAAGATAGCTCCGAGGCTAATAAATATGCTTAGTCTGAAAGCGCAGTGCTTGTCAGCCCATTGCAAGTGATCGACTGGAGCGAACGCGCGGGAACTGAGGGATTTAGTCACGCATCAATTTATATCCCCTGCCGGTGGGGTGGTTGCGCTGCATAAAGGAGGACGGCCATTTGATCTGTTTCACCCACCCGTTCTCAGCAATTAAACTCCCGTGCAGCGTTGTGAGTGCAGCAGGAGGGGGGGGCTATTCGTGCCACTAGTTCAGGGCTGGCGCCCCTCTTTTGGGAATGATAGACGACGACCAAGTGTCCTTGTGCGCCATGAGACAAAAGCGCGGGCGAGAAGAATCGGGAAGAAAAATTATACAATCCCGTTTTGTCTCTTTCATTTTGATTATTTCTTTGCTCTCTTGTCTTCTACCACGCCCGTCTCATTACTGCGTGGGATCTTGGCAGCTGAAGCTTCTCGATAGTAAGCATGGAGGACCCGATTCCTCTCCGCGATCGGCACGTCGACACCAAAGCCGCGAGTACCAGTCACACCCAGGTCCAGGACGACCAGGGGCTCGGACGTGTGGGCAAGAAGCAGATCCTCAAGCGTCGCTTTGGTTTTCTGTCCATTCTAGGATTTTCCTGTACTATCTTGGCCTCTTGGGAAGGTATCTTGTCGACGTTTGTCATCTCGTTTGAAGAGTATGTGGCGCACCTGGACGATATCTTGCCTGAGTGGCACCTAACGAAAGCCGATCGTACAGTGGAGGCCCGGCCGGAACCGTGTATAGCTTTTTGGTAGTCTGGTTGGGCACCTTTTCGACCTTCCTCACGCTGTCGGAGTTAGTCTCAATGTATGTGCTCTTGTCCATTCCTGCCCGACAGAATCTGACATGCCTCTCGCATAGGGCCCCAACGTCCGGGGGCCAGTACCACTGGGTCTCGATGATGTCTCCGGCATCATGTCAGAAGTACCTTAGCTTTCTCACAGGTAGGTTCCCCGCCGACCTTTTCTGTCCCTCTAGAGTTCTTTGTCATGACTGGTTGACGGACTTGCCCTCCAGGGTGGTTGATCGTCATCGGCTGGCTGGGAGCATTCACATCGACTTGCTACCTGAGCGCCTCCCAGATTCAGGGCCTCGTGGTCCTGAACCACAGCACCTATGTCCCGACGGCATGGCAGACGGTACTGCTCTTCTGGGCCATCCTGGCGTTTGCAGTGTTCGTCAACGCGGTCGCCAGCACCTGGCTTCCCAAGTTTGAGGGATTCGTGCTGATCCTGCACATCGTGGGCTTCTTCGCCATCATCATCCCACTCCTCTACCTGGGCACGCACAACGATGCGTCCGAGGTGTTTGGAACATTCCGAAACGACGGGGGCTTTCAAAGCGAAGGACTGGCGTTCATGGTGGGAATGACGGGCGCTATGTTCTCCTTCACGGGGGCTGATGCCGCCGTTCACGTAAGTCTGCTCGCCCCCTCATGTCGGACTGGCACTAACTTGACATGTGCTTTAGATGAGCGAAGAGATCCACAACGCGGAGCGCGTCGTGCCCCAGTCCATCCTCACCTCCGTTGTGATCAACGGCCTGCTGGGCTTCGGCATGGTCCTGAGCACCTTGTTCACCATGACCGATGTTGATACCGCGCTGGAATCGGCCACCGGATATCCCTATATGCAGGTGTTCTGCTCAGCCACGAGTTCCGTCGGCGGCTGTACGGTAATGAGCGCCATCGTGCCAATTCTGGTCACAGCCACTGCAGTCGGCTCGCTAGCCTCGTCATCGCGCATGGTCTGGTCTTTTGCCCGGGATCGCGGTCTTCCAGGCTGGCGGATCCTTAGTCGAGTACGCCCCCATCCACCGTCCTTGTCCCTTTGAAGTCCACCATGTATTAACCTCAAATTCCAGGTCAACGCCCAAGCCGTCCCGCAATGGTCCATCCTCGTCGTCACCGTCGCGGCCGTCCTGCTGGCCCTGATCATCCTCGGATCCGCCGCCGTCCTCAACGACGTGGTCTCCCTCTGCGTCAGCGCCCTCTACACCTCCTACCTCATCTCTGCCACGCTGCTGATCTGGAAGCGGTGCACGGGCGGCATCCGCGATCCCGCCGTCGCGGCCGTGGACTCGGTGCTGGTCAACACCCCCGGGGCCCCGCTCGCGTGGGGCCCGTTCCACATCCGCGGCGTGCTGGGCATCCTGGTGAACGCTTTCACGATCGCGTATCTGACGGTGGGCGTGTTCTTCAGTTTTTGGCCGACCGTGGCCAGCCCCACGGCGAGTACGATGAATTGGGCGGTCGTGGGCACGGCGGGGACGAGTCTGCTCAGCACGGTGTATTATGTGCTCTGGGGTGGCAAGGAGTATACGGGGCCGGTGGTGGAGATCGACCGGGATTGAGCTGGTGTGGGTGGTCTCGAGGATGGTACGGTATATACTTGGGGTCAGTGTGGTGCGTACATGTTAGTATTCAATCCAGTGTGTGGAAGACTGCTCTGCACCATATAGGCCAGATATACAATTTGGCTCAAACCTGATGCATCCGGGCATGGCATCTTTCGGTAGCCACCAACCATAGCCCGATCGAGTCTCTCCCTCTTGAGATGCCATACCTGTTTGAGACTGATCTGAACTTCGATCCGGACGGCATCTGATAAGAAAGCTGGAAAATGATCACCCGACAGTATTTATCTCGTGCGGAGAAGCCTTAGCCGGATGGCTGAAGCATTGGGTCGCGAGCCATACATATTCCATTATCAGCACAACGGGAGCGCAGAGTGTAATATCCAAGAAGCCGAATGCCGCTTACGTTCACTAGACCATAGCTGCGGTGCTATGTGACTGAATCTGACCTTCGACTCCTCCGTACACCCTTCGATGATTACCTGAGCTCGAGATGCCACTACACAATCCTAGGTCTGCTCTTTTCCCTCAGCACCGCTAACAGACTGTTCATGATCATCTCTTCAGTTGGCATGCACTCTGTATACAAACGAATCTCGAGTATGCTCGGGATTAGCGACGATCTTGTTATACCGGGCAGATTTCGGCTGACAACCAGCGATGCATCAGCCCTCAGACACCAGACATTGCAGACTGAGCTTCCCTCATATTAGCTCTTCTCGCTCTCCCGTAGATGCACGTACTACCTTATCTGCTTGTCCTAGAAACAAACAGCTTGGTCCAGAAGAGGATATGAGCCAGGAATGCAGAAGCGCGCTGACATAAGCAGTATCGGAAGCCGGTGCCGCCGTGACGTCATGCACTCTCCCTGCGTCTGGGCTGCTGGTACTATGGATCATCTGCACTGGACCTTTTTTACCGTTTTCTTCCTCTCATACTGGAATACTATGGGTCTTCCTAGAGCTGTTTCACCGAGGTGCTCTGACGCTTCTCGTGGGTTAGGTATGGTTCTTAAGTCTGTCCGTTCATGGACCGTGTGTATATATCCCGGATATTGCTGTAGGAAGAGAATGAAGAGTATCAGAGGCTGTAACTATTGGTCAAAATAATTGAGCTCTCAGAGACAGTGAAGATTGACAAGGACATTGCAGAGTGGAGTATGTGAGTATCATGAATCCGAGTCGATCTTTAGTACTAATTATACAAGAGAGAGCAGCGAACATACCAAAGCTGAACGTGGTCACGGAGGTGGTAATCTACAAGCTACAAATCCCAATAGACGTAACAGATATAGAAGAATCAATGCTAGTAAATTGAAATAAAGGGCATTCGTCAAACGGCTAACGACCCATGCGTGCTATCATAATACATCTCCATCATGCATAAAACGGACCCCCTACTTCAGCTTAGGAACCGCGTGAGCGAACAAGTTCTTCGGATCGTGTTTCTCCTTCAGCGCAACCACCTCGTCGGCAAACTCCCCAAACAATTTCTTCACCCGATCCTCGACACAGATCGTCTGGGCCCCCTCGCAGTGTAGCGACACATACGCACCGGGGAGCAGGTTCTGCGCCTGGGTGCCGTGCACGCTGGCCAGCATGTCGGACGCCCACTTCTCGGCCTCCTCCTGCAGGTCCTCCGCCGTCACGCACCCAAGGATCTCCAGCATGAGGTGTGGTTCGCGCGCGGCAAAGACCGAGTCGCGGGTCGGGGTGGCGGACGGGCCGCGCAGCTGGTGCACGGAGAGCATGGTGGCGGGGTCGGCGGGCATCTTCTCGAGGCTGGCGCCGAGGGTTTCGGCCAGCTCTGGGGTGATCTGGCGCACGTTGGCGGTGCGGCTGGAGCCGTACACGCTGGTGGGGACCATGGCGCCGTTGCCCCGGAACCAGTCGGGGATGGCGGTGGGGGCGACGGTGTTCATGATGGCGATGCCGAGCTTGGCGATCCGGTCGGCCCAGCGCTTGCCTTCGTCGAGGTCGTCGCCGGTCCAGACGACGATGGTCCCGAACAGGCGGCCGGGGGGCGCGTTGATGGCGATCTGCTGGACGGCCAGGGCATCGGGGATGCCTTCGTCCTGGAGGGCCTGGAAGGCGGCGTTGAAATCGACGAAGGTCTTCTTGATATCCGAGGACTCGAACATGATGACGCCGGAGAGAAGCTGTCCATCGTTGCTTGTCAGCCTATCTTGCTCCCGACTCTCCATCCCACGACAACCATGTGGAACTATAATAGGGGAAGCTCACCTGCTTGGCCTCATAGACTTTGACGCAAACTTCAACAATAACCCCAAGCACGCCACCCGCTCCCTTGATCCCCTTCAACAATTCCGGGTCCTCATCCGTATCCACGACCGACCCATCCGCCTTGACCACCTTCGCCCCGAGGATCTGATCCACCCCCAGCCCCCAGCGCGGCGCAAACAGGCCGTACCCGCCGTAGGTACTCCAGCCCACGTACCCGACATCCGGGATCGAGCCCGTGGGGGTAATCAGGCCTTCCTTCCAGAGCGTCTCCCCGAGCTTCCCCTGCAGGATGCCACCGCCGACGGTGGCGGACTTGCGGTCCGGGGCGATGCGCACGAAGTCGAGGGCGCGGAGATCGATGAGGAAGGTGTCGTTCTGGATGGATTTGCCTTCGATGTTGTGGCCGCCGGTGCGGACGCTGAAGGGGAGATCCTGGTTGTGGAGGAAATGAACGAGGGCGGCGACGTCTTGGGCGGATTGGGGCTGGAGGACGGCGAGCGGGGTGCAGCTCTTGTTGCGGCCCACGTTCCACACGCGGGTGGTCTCGGAGAAGGAGGGGGAATCGCGCCCGATGTATCCTATGCTGGCATGTTCGCGGAGGAGGGGGTCGAGAGTGTTTTTGAGGTCTGTCATTTTTGCTGTCATCGAGATGGATGGGATGTGTTGGAAGGAAGGAAGTGAGGAGGGAGGGATGAGGAAGGATACGAGAGAAGAAGGCTATTATAAAGGTGTTATTTGCGTTTGCTTGTGGTTGTGGTTGAGGTGGGAAGGGGAGGCTTACCCCTCGGCGGGGTAAGTAAAGCTGTTGTGTTACACAATTAAATAGTGGAATGTCTGGATCGCCAGTGAATGGAAGATGGGAAGATGGGTCTGACAGGCCGGAACTGAGTGGATATGTGGGTCAATTACGGAGACAGTCCAGAACTCCAGATCCCTCCCTGGTCAGCCTGTTCGTCCACTGTCAACTGGCTGGGTGAACTACTTTTAGCGGGGTAGCCGCTGGATGACGATCCTACCCCGTCTTACGATTCGACAGTACCAAATAATTTCGACCTGGGTCAATCAAGTCCATTCTTCATCACCCTTTCCGAGATTTAATCGAAAATCAAGAGGAAATTCTACCAATCCAGGCAGATGCTTGATCGATTGGCCCGTCTGAGCCGCATACCTGATCACCCCGCCACATTCCTAGCTTATCCTTGAGATTCCAACACGCTCGTGTCTGAGTGCACTTGACTCAAAACTGTTGTTTTATCTAAGGAATCCAGGACTAGCTCACCTCCTAGCGCGGCCGGAAGCCCCGGGTAGAGCGTGAGCAATGCAATCGCACCATCTCACTCACTCACTCTCCGACTCCGACCCTGCATAGACTAAGTTACCTAGTTAGGGTTTAGCCTGCCCTTCACCAAACTCCTCACCCCGAGACGCAGTGCGAGCTATGCTGACCTGTGTCGACACGCTGCATGGATTAGTCCCCCAGACCTCACTCAAGACATCGCATGCATTCGCTCAGGTTATGTACAGAGCACGCATCCGGTACAATATACTATCTTAAATCCACACCAGAACAGGAATAACCCACCCACCCACCCCTTACGCCAGTGGAAAGAACTGATTAAATCGATTCTGGGGATCGTAGACCCTCTTCAACAACCGCAACTTCTCCAAATGATCCCCATAAATATCCTCGAGACTCTCATCCCCAAACGCGAAATTGATATACCTAACCCGCAGGAAAAGCCCAGTCAGCACAGCTCACCTTGCATCCAGCACGCCCATCACGCACCCTCCCCACCCAACCATCGCAGATCCAAAGAAAGAGGCAAACTCACGTGGAATTCCCACTCAGCCCACTCGTCTCCCTCCACAGCGCCCGCACATCCCCCGCCCACTGCCGCGCCGACGCATCCAGCGCGGGATCCCGATACCAGGCGATGGCGACGGTATTGAACCGACTGGACGCGCGCCACGCGTACGCCGCGCTGTCCGCGGCGACGGCGCTCGCGCGCCCCAGACTGTACGCCTCCATCAGGACGGTCGAGTTGCCCACCTGCTCGCCGCCGGACGCGGCCACCCACCGCGTGAACGAGGTCCAGATCGCGCGCCACGCGGCCGGGTCGAGGGTCCGCTGCGCGGACCCCAGACTGACCTTGCGGCCGCCGCCGGCGCAGAACGAGCCGCTGCCCGCGTTGACCCGGTCGTAGGGTGTCCAGGCGGTCGTGTCGGAGAGCGGGCCCAGCGCGAGGATCGCGCGGAACGCGGCGCGGGCTTCCTCCGTCATCGTCGTCGTCGTCGTCGTGTTGGCGCCCGCGCGGGCCAGGTAGAACGGGAACGCGATGATGGCCGGCGTGTAGTCCGGGGCGCCGGTGGTGGCGAAGTAGAGGAAGATGGCCATCTGGGGGCTCAGCGGGAGGTCGTTGATCGCCGCCACCAACGCTTCGAGCTTGTCCTCGCTGAAGACCAGGCTGCCCAGCCAGGCGTGGTTCTCAGTTCGTGGGGTCGGGTAGGAGCGGAAGACCGCCGAGGTGACTACCCCGAAGTTGGCGCCGGCGCCGCGCAGCGCCCACCACAGCTCCGGCTGCGAGCGCGCCGTCACCGTCACCCGCGTCCCGGTTGCTAGCACGACGTCTAGTGAGAGAACGTTGTCGATCATGTACCCCCTTTCCCCCATCATGCGGCTGTACCCGCCCCCGAGCAGGGCGCCCATCACCCCGACGCAGTCGCAGTTCGCGGTCACGACCTGTGCGTCGTGTGCGTAGGCGGCGGCCAGGAGCTCGGAGGTCAGGGTGCCGCCTTGCACGGTGACGGTTGTGCGGGTCGGGGAGAAGGTGATGGCGTTGAGGGCGCGGAGGTTGATGAGGATGGAGGGGGTGGTCGTGTTGGTCAGGGTCCAGGTGGTGCTCCAGGCGTTGCCGCCGGCTTGGGCGAGGAAGGGGATGTCGTGGGCGTTGGCGCAGAAGACCTGTGTTTGTGGTGTGGGGTCAGTCCGATACTGGGGGATACGGGATGGGGGAGGGTACAGTGGCTTGCACGTCCGCTTCTGTCGCCACGTTGACGACGTGGTTCGTCACGGGCTCGCCGTACTCCGTCCATCGCGGGGCGACGACCGTCGACGAGGCATTGAGGATCGTGGCCTGCGACGAGAGCAGTGGCTGCAAGCACGTCTCAAACGCGGTGTACTTCGTCCACGCCTCGACCTCGGCCGGGCCTGTCAAGACAGCAAGCCGCAATGCTGATGGAACCCTCATCTCAGTGTTTCACACCGCGACACCACACACAGGGTAAGAATGAAGGGGACCAAGAGGCATGAACTATAGAAAAGGTATCCAGCAGCCATCCCGCATCTAATATACTTCTGGGACCGATCGAGGGCTCATCCCGTTCCATCAAGCGGGGCGGGGAGAAAGAGCAGCATGTGCGTAGATTGGACCCCGCACCATCAAAGGCCAACTGGATGCTGTAGTCGTAGACTTCCCCTTGGTCTGCACGGAAGCTGAGCCAGACTGCCGATTCGATGCTTTCAACCACGCCACGAAAAGGCGCACGTGGATGCTTAGCCTTCGATCCTTTCCTCCCACTCCGACCCCGACGGCGGTGGGCGGGATTGTCAACTTGCATCGTCAACCCTCGGTTTGGACTTCCGGTTCGGTGCTTCGCGGGGGTGGACCAGTCACGGTGCGCTACATTGACTGTTCTGCTGGCGAAGCTAGCAGCTTATTTTCTTTGTCGATATGATTACGAGGAAGATATCCCGTTTGTGGAATCTGAAGCGGTTGCAATGCGCTAGCTGGCTACCTGCTGCAGCTACCGGGTAAACCGGACGAGACACATGGCCGCCTCGTGCGCGGCAGGGTTTGGTAGAACGCCCGGCGCGCCGTCAAGAATGGAGCGCCCATGCGGTGGCGTTTCAAGCCACTGCAGACATTCTTCTGGTTTTCAATGGTACTAAAGACCGACTTGAAATTGACTGAGCGGGGGGTGGGGGGGTCAATGCTGGGTAATCATTTGTCGGGAGTGCGAGTTGACTAGCAGTTGACTAGAGACTCCTAGTGGGGTGCTCACTGGGATTGTGATCATACGAACCAGGAACGGGGCGTGTTGATTCTCAACTAGTTCCAGAAGCCACAGGAACACGTGGAAACCCTTGGCGGTATGAGCCATTAGTTTGAATGGGGACTCGTGTTCAGTAATCGAGGTGCATTTTTTTTAACCCCAGGCTTATTTCTTATTTCTTTTTGCTTATTCCTGATGGTGGGTCTGGGGCCTTGTGCGGCATTCGTGCATGGGGCACAGGTTTAAGCTATTGGCGGGCAGGGTGGAGGAATGTTTCGAGATGGGTCGCTCAATGGAATCATGTCCCTTTCCTAGAGGAGCTCTAGAGGATTGGGCAGGCTGAGAACTCAAGTATGTGGTAGGTCTCAAGGAAGAGCCCAGATGAAGATAACTTGCACTCGAACATGCGATCAAAACAACTCGGGACATGACCATCTCTAAGTTCCAGACACATACAGCAAGTATTGTAAAGTTAGCAATGGCAAAGAACCCCTGACTCGACCCGCGCATAGACGCAGAACACTTGGCGGTTAATACACGTCCCATCGAGGGCAATGTACAGATTCACTATGAACTAGGAAACTAGGGCAGAGGCTATGGAGAGAACAACATGATCCGATTACTCATACCAGCATACAACTCATCAGAAGAACCACGAGACCGTCACTTGGCAATCGCAATATCGGTTTTGAAAGCCTCGACGTCCGTCCAGGTCGTGCTGTGCTCGACGACGATGACGCCGTCGGTCGGGTGCGGACGCTCGTGGGAGGAGGTGCGCTGGATCTGAATCTGCACGCTGGCCGGGGGCCCACTCCGGTCACACGGCACAGCGGCTTCCAGCTCGTCGATCGTGTCCGTGGGGCGACCGTACCGTGCCTGGCGCGAGGGGATGTGATCGTGATACTCGTGGGCCAGCTTGAAGGTGTCGCCGGTGGGGAGGCCGCCCCGGCTCCGATAGAAGAAGAGTGGGCGCAGGGTGGGCAGACAGGCGCTGATGATGGCGAGGGCCAGCTCGACGACGGTCCAGATGAAGACGCCGGAGGTGTAGTAGGTCTCGTTATTGTAGTGGATGAGGAGGACGCGCTCGCACTCGATGAAGGCGGCCAGGCGGGCGATGCTGGAGGCGACGGCCAGCGCGCCCAGCAGGAACATCCCCAGCACCGCCGCCTTCTGCCGCACCTCCAGCTTGACGCGCAGCACCATCGGGATGGGCAGCAGCAGCACGCACACGTCCAGCACCACGTCCGACCCGCTCAGACCGTTGTAGAAGACCATCGTGTTGATGCACTTGTTGCCGTAGAACCCCTCCACCAGCGCCGTCACCGGATAGCACTGGAACAGGCACACGAAGAACATCACCGCCGTCCACGCAATGACCAGCCCTAGAAACAGCTGGCACACCCGCCGGAAAGTCCGCGTGTGAAAGATGCGCATATACAGCAGGATCACCGACGCTTTACTGAGCCCCACTCCCATCACGGATAACATGTGCAGCGCGAATTTGGCCTGTCCGTGCGGGTTAGAGTGGCTTACTTTTCTCGACTCTTTCAGCTTCTCGAGCGAGGTGGAGGCATATACGCACCCGTTCGTAGGTGAGAAACCGTGGGTCGTCCAGGATGGGCTCCCCATTGGGATAGGTCGCCTGGGTTTGGCCCAATTGTCCATCGATGGCCCCAATCAGTTGACAGATACAGACGGCTGTGCAGAATAACTACGGTGAGGTCAGTACCCAGGTCTGCGACCGAGGGAATGGTGCTCGAATCCTACCAAGGCGGCGAAGATAGTGTAGTCGTCCGAGCCCATGTGAGCGCCACAGAGGCGCCGGGCCCAGACACGTAACCCCACGAAGATGGCGGGTACAAACATCAAGATGAAGCCTAAGGCTATCATCTCCCCCTTGTTGTAGCCCATGCGGGCGACAGTGCAATCCGGGTTGCCAGCGTACGGACCGACAACGCAAGAGACCAGCTTTGAGGAAAAGGGAAGAAAGAATTGAGGGGAATGTCGCGCAAATACATGATGCTCGCTGCTAATCCCTACCTTGCTTGTCAAGTCACGAAGAGGCTAGGACGAGCGCTATCCCTCCCCCTCCGCCTTGCCCTTTCCCCTTCCCCCCTCTGGTCAAGTGTCAGCATGCTAGGTATGCGCTTGTGCATGTTTGTTTGGCTGGGGTGCCAATCGCAGGCAGGCAGGTAGGGTTTATCGGTCGGATAAGCGTGGGACAGTAAGCCAGTGAGCGAGTCAGCATGGAGGTCCGATCGAATAGTTGTTGGTCCTCGGACAAATCCAATATTTAGTCCCCTTGCTTGGGTGCTTACATGCCTGCCTGCATCCCACACACGGGATAGAACCAGATCATGGGCTGGTCACCCTGCTGTGAATTGTGACCATAATGCCTAGACTATGAGTGAGAGAATGGCGCTGAGCAGTTAAGTTACTGAATACTCCGTATCTTGGAGTTATTTGGGGGCCAGCGCTCTGACTACTTGGCCCCTCCTCCCCTCCCGGCCCGCAACCCTTCCCGCTTTCCCTTCCACTGCACCCTACACGGTAGTCCAAGTTAGGGCTGATGAGCTAGTTGATGCAGTGCCAGTGGTTGATCACAGCCTCTTGATTAGTCTACTCGACATCCATCCTATGGATCTAAGCGGAACTGACTTTAAGGTTGATTCCTGACTTTTCGTTCCTACGCTGACCGTCAAATCTTTGGACCGTCTGGAAGTTGCAGTCAGCAAGCAGCACCCCTCGACTCGCGGCTCAGGAAACAAATCAGACAGAACGTGCCCGGCCTCCCGCCAAGATCTAGCAAGAGGCTGGGGAGCACAACACACCATGCATGTGGCCATGCGGTCATCTTTTAGCCTGGGGAACCCTGCCACTCGATTGGCTGGGCCGGCTTACCCTGCGCACGAGGGATGTTCACCTCAACCTCTCCGAGGCCCCCTTTCGGGTTTCCCCCCCCCCCTTGGCTGAAGTCACTGCAGAGGAGTGGAGTCCGTAACCTCGGACATTCGTGGGCAATTGCACAGCCTCGTTGCTGTATTGCTTGATTATCGACTTGTTGCATGAGTACATAGGATTTTATGAGCACAAAGTACGGAGTATGTGAGTAAGATTGTCCTTGCGTGCCTGTTCTCACCCTAGATGATCCCCGATCATCGATTTTCTCAGACTCCGCCTCCCCCCCCCCCACCACCATGGCATTTCAATCTTGGCCCAGACCAGACCGCGGCTCGCCAACGATTTACCCAGCTAGCCTGACTGCAGTGAGAAAACCGCAGATGGGAAAATCATCTGATCCCCGGTTATCACCGACCTAACCCACTGCATTCATTCCTTCTTTCCTTCTCACTCAGTCATTGCACTCCCCACCAAAACAGCCAAGTCTGGCCCTCTGTGTTCTCTGCGTTCTTCATCACCTCCGCTGACAAAACAAACCAATGCCAAGGATCCCACACAGCCTATCTCTGCAGGAAATTGTTCGCCAAAGAAAAAAAAAATAAAAAAAAAATAAAGTCAAGACACGAAACCGTTACGATCGGCTTTTCCGGCCCCCACTACAACGATGTGAAGAGAAGTGGAAACACCCCCCACCTACGCAACTAGTCATTCACCGAAATCGGAATAATCTTCACACCCAAGATCCACTCCACGCGCCTCACTCGGCACTTGGGGACGACCACGACACCTGAATGACGGAGAGATTCGAGCCCGCCGGTTTGGTGACGCCCCGCCACCGGAAGCGGGGGTCGGCCTGCGCGAACAGCGCCCGCCAGTCTGCGGCATCGCGTTCACTGGAATTGAACAGGCTGAGCATGTTCATGTCTATTGTTCTGGGAGAGATCATCATCAGTGGATCGGTGTTAGGACGAGGTTGGGGCATCATTGCTCAGCGACGGCAACAAGTCGCCACAAGGAATAGATCTGCGCTAGAGAGAGGGGCCCAAAACATACCGAATATGCTTCTCCTCCAACAACCCCACCGACCCGGGCTCAGGCAAGCAGAACTCATTCAGCACCACCATGCCCCCGTCCCGCAGCGCGGGCACCAGCGCGCGCAGGATGCGCACGCAGTCCGCGTCCCCGAAATCATGCAGCACCATGCGCAGCAGGTACACGTCCGCCCCGTGGACGGGCTGGTCGGCGAAGAAGTCGTGCGCCATGAACTGCACCCGACTGTGTTCCCCGGGTGAAGCAGTCGCGGTGGGCGCCTGGGCGATGGTGGGCGCCGTGTCCTGAACGACGAAGCGTAGGGCCGGGAATGCCTGCGCGAGAGCCTGCGAAACATACCCCGTCGAACCTCCGACGTCGACCACTACGCCCGCTCCGCCGCCCCCGCCGCCGCCCCCTCCGCCGCATATGGACGCCCAGTCGTAACCGTCGCGGAGGTGGCTCACGTCATTCTCGGGCCCGGTGCTGTAGGTCGACATGGCCGAGGCAAAGACCCGCCCGCGGTCGGGCTGGGTGGTCAGGTATTGGAAGAAGGTGGGATGGGTCGGGGGCTGCGAGAGCGAGAAGCCCGTTTGGGCGGCATCGGTGGCGTTGGGCCATTTGCGCAAGGCGGTTGGGGTCTGGTTCACGGTGAGGTGAGAACCGTCATGTCAGAGGTCCGAAATGATTACAGAACAGATCCGAAGGGGCCGTGCAGGGGGGGGGGGATGCTATGCAGACCTCTTTCATCGCGGGAAGGATCTCTGTATAGTGAACATCGATGTAATCGCGCATCACCTGGTCCTCCGCCAGCATCCGCGACGCGGCCGTGTGCCTCACGACCCCCTGCGGCTCCTCGCGGAAGATCCCCTCGGTCGCAGCATGGCGGATGATCCGACGAACTTTCTGCTCCGGGAGTCCAGCGGTGGTCGCGATCTCGGCGAACGTGGCCGATTCGCCGACGGGGAAGGAACGAGCGAGATCGAAGTCGCAGACCGCGCGGATGGTGCCTATATTGTTCCTCTTTCGAGGCAGGAGGCAGGGAGGGTTGAGGTTAGTCACATGACGGGGGACCTCTTGCGGATATAGAATCCGTTGCCGATGTACTGGATGGGAGACAAGACTCACTGCCCACAAAAATAAACTCTCCCTGGGGCCTAGTAACAGCTGCTGCAATTGGAGAGTGGCATCGAGCACTTTCTGCCGGAGCTGCTGCACCTCGACCGGAAAGTCGAGGGGTGAGTCGATCTCGTAGGAGGGTAGCGGTTGCTGGAGGTCGGTATAGATTTGGGTGATGCGGTCAAGGTTGGACGCGATTGACCGGCCGAGGTCGGCAAAATTTGCATCCGAGGTCGGACGGGACGGCATGGTTGCTGTATAGCTAGTTAGTGTGACGACAGTGTCACGCCGTATGCAAGACGACGAACGGGGTCAATCGATTGAGTCGATGGCGCTGTCCATGGAGTGGAGACAAAGTCACCGACGGCGTTGTGGTGGTCCACGAGGTGACAGGGATCATATACTATGTCAGTCAATGGCATTTGCGATGCCATTGATGGATGGCCGATTACCCCCGCGCTTCCGGGGAGTTGCACCGCCCGTTCTGCCCACGTATGCCGTGGAGATTGCGCACGGCCGGATTGGGGTCTTGATGTTGCTAGAAAATCATCTCGTGGCCCGCCATGTGCTGGTCGGGTTGACCACATTCGACCCACGCTAGAGCCGGGATACGAGAATCAGTTCCTTGCAGCAGCACGAGTGGAATCTTGGCGGGCCGTCCAAGGCCTCGCTACGAGGTACTTCCTGCTAGGAGTACATGGCAGTTACTAGTAATGCGACATCAGCGATAAAAGCGACCGGTGAACTGTGTGTGTGTATTCTGGGGCTATTGGCGACTTGTTCAGACGTCGAAATGATGTGCTCCTTTCCAGAATACCCCACTTCCGATCAAAGCGGCATAGTTAGCCCATCCACCACCCCGGCCAGGTGGCACTGACAATCCCTGCTGAAGAATGTGGAGATCGGTGCGCAGTCGGACTAGCAGAGCGATTGGATTATTCAGCTCATTCTTGATGCACTATAATATAATAAAGTTAATTAAAAGTGGCTGCTGGGACCCCACCCAACGCCTGTACCACCAAAATATCCTCCAAGAAAAAGAAAAACCCCCTCCCTCTTCCAAGAAGATGAATGCCTGCTGCCTAAGGCTGGGGATGTCGTTTCCACAGCCTTACCGCATCAATACGAGACCGATACCCTTGCATGTGAGAAAAGTGGCGTGGTGTGGTGTGGTTGTTGTTGTTGTTGTTGTCTCTTCACCAGTGCCCCGGCTATGTCATCCACACCGAAGGGGGGCTTTCTGTTCATGGCCATGGGGGCCCAGTGAATAGAGGGAGCTTGCTCTTCCCCCATGCATTGCAATGAGCATCCACCATGAGGAAGGACGAACAACGGTATCAACTCGCTCCAACCGAGGAGGAGGGAGAAGGCCTCAACGACCATGAGACCCTGTCCGAGACCGCGGGGAAACGGGCGACCCCCAGCCCGCGCCAGCGCACCCAGCTGCGGATACACTACAGCATTATCACGGTCGCATACACGCTGCTCATCCCCCTCTACCTCTACCTTCTCCTCCTGACCCAGAACCCGATCGCCCTTGACAGACTCATTACCACCCCTAACAACGCCATCTTCCCATCCCTCCGCACCGCCAACGCCGTAGGGTACGAAACCCGCCCGTGGCCCGTCCGCCTCCACGACAACCCCTTCGCCGGCAAACCGCGGCCGGAGCTCGAGGCCGCCTGGCACACGCTGTTTGAGAAGAACAACATCCGCGTCACCGGGGAGGACCTCGCCTTCTACAACGTCACCTCGCTCCCGATCGTCGGGCCCGCAGGCGAAGGTCCTGGGGGGTATGTCGGCCAACTGGGGGTGTTCCACGAACTCCACTGCCTTAAGCGCATCCGCCACTGGATCTACCGCGATCATTATCTGGCGGACGCCCCGGCGGCGGTGCTGGTGGAGGAGGAGGCGCACGTCGACCACTGCGTCGAGTTGCTCCGGGAGGCGAGTCTGTGTCGGGCGGACCTGACGCTGAGTGGGTTCCGGTGGATTCAGACCGGTCCGGAGGGTAAGCAGAGGGAGTTGACGGTCGAAGCCAAGGGGAATCATGTCTGCGTCGATTGGGAGCGACTGCGGAAGTGGAATGATGCACGAGCGGTGGATGCGTGGGAGCCCGGGGTTTTGGGCGGCGCTTAGGTTGATGACTTCACTCTATGTATATGGCAGATGGCTTGGGCTTGTGAGGATCATGATCCATGGTATGTTGAATAGAATAAAGAATCTCGTAATCTGTATACACTGCAGATAATGCTAGGAGGGATCGTTCGACCAGTGTGCCTCCGCCCACGCCTTGACGCTCTCGTAGTCCCGGCACGTCCGACTATACCCCCATCCCGTCACGCCTTGGAGCTCCTTGTCAACGGGCTCGAGGTTCGTGTCGGCTGCACACATCAGACTCTGGCGCAAGTAGTCGAAGCAGTGCCGGACGTGGTGCGGGTCCTTCATGTGGTCGTGTTCGTCCGCCACATGGGGGAGCTGCCCGTCTACGGCAGCGTAGTAGACCTCGCGCAGGGCGTTGAGACAGTGCAGCGCGTGGAAGACGACCAACCCGGACAGCTCGGGCGCCAGGGTTGGGTGTTTGACGAAACCGACTCCCTTGGGAAAGAGGGAGGCCCACGCCGCGTCGGTCTCGGGCGAAGGGTGCTGCGAGAAGGTGCTGTTGTATTCCATGTGGATCTGGATGTCGCCATCGGGGACTACAGTCGTTTGTCAAGGGAAAAACAGTGTGAGATTCCAGTATGTTGCTATGAAAAGGTGGGGGAAATCGTACTCAACAGTCCCTCGCGCTTCCTGGTCGGAATACCCTTCCCAATGGAAACCCCGAGGCCGAAAACCACCGCAGCAACCAGAAATCCAAGAAGCATCCAGCCGCACCGGATGAAGGTTGATCGCGGGTTTGCGTTGCGGTGTCGGGGCGGTGCGGGCTCATCGTGGTAGTCCTCTTCCCCGCGCATCAAGGGCTCGTGGGGTTTGGAGGGGAGTTCGAACGACATGATGGTCAACTCACCCTGCGCCCGATAGAAGAGAAAGAAAGTAAAGGTTGGGGAAGAACTTATAAAATCTAAAATTGAGACTTTCTTCTACTTCTTCCTTCTCTTATCCCTCCTATCATACGATAAGAGCGACTCCGGCGTGCCGGTAGATGCAGGGCCAGAGGTGCATAAACAATCCTAGACCGAGAGATCCTTGTTCTGCGGTAAGATTGCCAGTAGTTCCTCCTACCAACACTACACCTGTAATAACTGTACATACATGAGAATAATACCCGCGCCACTACCTTGATTTCTTCTGTTCTTATCCTTTCCCTCCTCAAACGGTGGCTGAGTTGACAAGACGGGATAATAGGATTACTCTACAAAGAACCTATATTCTATCTCGGTCAGAGAGCGAATGGATTAAGAAAACAAGAGAAAGAAAAATAAAAATAAAATAAAAATAAAAAAAGGAAAAGAAAGGAAAACACGTCCATACATCAATACATACCGACTTTACTCAACGGATGTGTCCTCATAGCCCGCCCCACCAACCCTCATGCCGCGCTCGGCCCAGACAGACATAAGAAGGAATTGAAATGACTGCAAGGCAGCAGAAAGGCGATTGGGGGCGGAGGAAACCCTTTCCACTCCCGGTCGGAATTCAGACAAAAAAGAACCCAAAATTGGATGACATACCTTGCCAAGGGAAACACCATGACGCCATGTACGTAGGTATTGTGGCCGGTGGACGCCCTGCCAGTTCGCTTTTCCCTCGTGTTTCTCCAACCGGCAGCCGAAACCTTTTGCAGTGTCGTCGCCCGCCCAGGTTGATGGGTAAACTGGTTCATTGCCCTTGGTTCCTCTCAATGTTCGTTTTCTTATCTACTTAACTTTCTTGGATGAATGAAATGAATGAACTGTTCGCTGTTACGTTTCTCGGCCATTCAACCACCTTAACTAAGGCATTTTCCCCCCATTTCCATTGATTCTTTTTTTCCCCGTCCGTCAGCTCCCAACCCTCCCCACCCCTCTTTTTCTGTGAAGGATGCTCAATCCCATGCTGTGACCCGCCGGATTCCGCTGTCTCGACAATCTGTCGCCTGTCCTTTCTCTGCTGTCACCTGTCAGTTTCTCTTAGCGACCGTTACGAAAGTCAATACAAGCGTTTCATTTCGGTGGGGGTGGTTCTGCTGGCAACTTCTTAGTTGAACCTTTCCTACCCGATTCTCGTGTTTTGGTGTAAGGGGACGAATTTCGAGGAACGAACTCAATCGACTTGCAAATTCCTCCATTTGCAAACTACTACACCCATCATGCATCTTACCACGGTGCTATACTGCGGCCTGGCCGCGTTGACCCTCACCAACGCTGCACCACTCGTCGGAGGTTAGTTGCTCAGTCGGCCTGTCATCTACCGGTAGACTAACATACATAATCTCATGTAGAATCCACCAGACGCGAAGTAGCCGACAGTGACGATAGGGTCGCTTACACCTGGGCCATACCGGAGAGAAGTCGCAAACGCGAGGACGGCGACGACAAGGTCGTCTACACCTGGGCCGTACCGGAGAGTCGCAAACGAGAGGACGGCGACGACAAGGTCGTCTATACCTGGGCCGTACCGGAATGAGAAACGAAAAAGCGAAAAAAAAGCCCAAAAACTGAAATGGGATTCTTTTCGACCCTGCCGGGGCGCCACGCAGCAGCTTTCGGCTTATGTTCCACGATGTGATGACTCCTCCTGTCTCTAAACTGAACCCGGGTTTAGTATGTTGATAATGATGTTATGTATACTTGTTTATGGTCGCTTCCTCCATTCTTGTGCTATTTGAGATTTTTGTATCGTTGTTAGAGCATAGAAGTTAATTTCCCCTTATTGCATTGCAAAGGAGTGTGGGATCCGGGGGGTCTGGTAGAGTGCAGTGCCAGGTGCAGGGTGAATAACGGAAACGAGTTTGAATGTGTATCAGGATGGATCTGTGCGTGTATATAGTCTGCTGTAGGTCTACGTTCTCTCAAGTTACGGTACACAGAACCATGGATTAGTAGATTGGTCCCGATGCAAAACCAGCATCTTCAATGTAAGAATCCCATGCAGCCTAGAACTGATTAGCACATAATCTCACCGCCAGCGACGAAGAGAACATACCCAATCAATTTCGACGGAGGCCAATTCCTTCTCGAAAGTGAAACCATCGACGCCTGGCATCTGGGACGGAGGGCCCCACAGCCCCAGGCCAGATGCATGATCGGCCGACGCCGCCTCAACACCACCACCGCCACCACCATCTTTCGCACCAGAGCAACAACTACGAACACCCTCCAGCATCCCAGCGAGGACCTGCCACTGCCTCCCGGCCTCGTCGCAGGTCTCCCGATTCACCCCCCACAGCGCCACCGACGTCTCCAGATCCCGTCGTAGATCCGCCTGCTCCACCGCGTCCTCCGCAGCGGGGAACTGGCGCATCAGCTCCAGCTCGAGGAACACCACCATCGCCGCAAAGCTGAGGATCTGGCGCGTGTGCGCGAACCGGTACCACTGCTCGGATAGGTCGCGCTGGGTGGCCAGCAGCGCGCGGGCGGAGGCGAGGCACCGATCCCGCGAGAACCGGTACTGCGGGTTCGTCTTGGCCTGGGCCAGGAATCGGCGGTGCAGGGTGCACATCGCCCGGTGGTAGATGGACCGGAGTCCGATCTGTGCGTGGAAAAGGCGGAGCTGCTCCGGGGGCTGCGGCGGGGCCGGTGGCTGCATGTGTGGAGGGAAGCTGTCGTAGGCCGCGGACAGCATGCGGTCGGTGGCGAGGACATCCGCGTAGGTGCTGGGGGTAGGGCTGGACCTGAGGTCTGCGACGCGGCCGAGGGCGTGGCACAGGCGGCCCTTGACGATTAGGTAGGTCACCGCGGTGGATTCGGTCAAGGGTCGGGAAGGTGGGAGGCTGGCAGCGGTGGCATCATCCGCGGGCAGCTCCCAGTCGTGCAGGTTGCGTGGCTCCCTCGTGTCGGAGTATATGGCGGACAGCATGCGAGGGAGGCCCGCGCCGAACGAGGTCATGTTGTCCATGCTGATCACGGCGAGCCAGATGCGGCGACGATACTCTGCTTGCAAGGGGAAGATCGGGGGTGACGAGTGCGCGGGGTCGCGGTGATAGCCCATGTTGATGGCCGTGCGGACTAGCACGCCGGTCATGATCCAGAGGCCGCGGCGGTTGTCGTCCTTGCGGTTGAGCTCGGCGGTGGCGTTGAAGCGCAGGGTCTCCACGGTGTAGGGGAGGCATTTGGCGATGTCGCCGCTCAGGAGACACTGCGCCGTGCGGATGCGGTACAGTTGGAAGAGAGACTCCGAGCGGCCTTCATACTCTGGTGGCTCGCCGTGTTGGTGATAGGCTAGCATGACGATACCAAGAATGGAGAATAAGAGTCCCAGCCAGATGAAGTTCGCGTGGGATGGGTTCTTCCAATGCTCGTGATACTGCGCTGAGGTTACCCTAGGATACGATCAATACGGGTCGTGTGCTCTTACCTCCCGCATGAAGGTCGGCTTGTGGATGATGGCTAAGACATGTCAGATTCGCGGACCAAGTGAGCTGTGGCTGACACGTACGAGGCACGGCTATTGGGAAGGTTGGGCGATCGAAGAAAGTAGTCACCAGATTGTCCAATTCGCGCTTGGGTGGGAGAGTGGCCAGGATTTCGATTCGATCTATGGGCTTCACTTGACCGAACAGAAGGCTCGATCCATCGGCTAGTTGCGACTGCGTGGGTGGAGTCTGATGGCCCACTCGGTCGTCTTGGGCCTGGGTCCAGGTGTTTTTGAGTTGGTTGATCTGAAAATCATCAGTTGAGCTTGAATGACAGCAAATCTGCAGGTGATAGAAGATAGTTGAGGTGGCCTTGGAATCAGGAACAGGACGAGATACCTCCTCTAACACATCATACCAATCATCGCCACCCTGGTAGACTGAATGGGCGCCATCGAGCACTACCTTCCCCGCAGAGGCTACATCTTTGGTAGGGGACGCGACCAGGTCGCCAGGCTTAGGGCTCTCGGGTGTCTGGTGGGCAATGAGTCTCTTCACCATAGTTTCCAACTGGTCGATCCGCTGGCGCATGGGATCGAGCTGACTCTCACGCCGAGCATTCGAAAGGGAGTCAATCTTGGCCCCTTTGAAGTGACATGATGACTGCTCGTCACGAGTGATACAGTTCTGGCAAGGGTATTCCCGGTTGCATTTGATTCTATCTAGGTCAGCAATGGAGCCATTGCCTCGGATCATACAGAGCATTGATGTGATCTACACACTTTCGCGTGCGGCAGGGGTCACACGATAGAGGAATGCGGGCGCGTCGTCTTTGTGACACGGGTTGGACGGGAGATTGCATCTAGAATACAGCCCACTGAAGAAGAAACCAAGAAAGATGATGATGATGATGAATGATGCAAAGTAAGCTGCGGAGTACAGCCTTAAATCCGCGGACTTAACCGATCACGAGCCTCACGTGCAATTGGTGCCTGATACCTGAGGCTGCACGATGCTGATCTCCACGGACTTGTTATATCCGGCCTGTCTGGACTTAACCCCGAGATTGTATGCCACTGTGAAGAATAGCAAAAGACGAAGATATATAGTTGAACGCCAATCACATGCGTAAGGTAGAGCCCTATTCTATCAATTCAGAGTCACTTTCCACAGTCCAATTCCTCGACAGCCATACTCTCATAGTCGCATAGACCCAAAGTCGCACGATGCCCACCCTCAGCGACTTCTTCTCTACCCAATTCCTTCTCCGAATCCCCCAACCATCCGCCTCCTTCACCAACAAGACTATCATCGTGACTGGCGCCAATGGAGGCTTAGGACGAGAGACCGCGAAGCACCTCATCCGTCTCGGGGCCGAGAAGGTCATCTTCGCGTGCCGCAGTCGGTCCCGAGGCGAGCAGGCCAAACGCGAGATCGAGGCCCAGCTGAACTGTAAGACCAACCTCGTCGACGTCCGAGAACTCGACCTGGAGTCCCCGGCCTCGATCAAGCGGTTCGCAGAATGGGCCGCTCGCTCACTTCCACGCGTCGACGTCCTGATCAACAACGCCGGGATCCACGCCAACAAGTTCAAAGTCGTCTACGACACCGAGCGCACCCTGGCAGTCAACAACATCGGCACCTTCCTGCTGACGGTCCAGATGATCCCGAAAATGAAGGCGACAGCTCGAGCCTATGGCGTCACGCCGGTGATCACCTTCGTCGCCTCCGCGCTCTACGACATCGCCGAATACCCCGCGCAGCACGGGGAGGATATCTTCACCTGGTTTCGGGAGGAATCCCACGTGAACTTCATGAACCAGTCAGTATACCCGCCCTACATGCCACAGGATCCATTGCTTATGGAATATGCTGCATTAGGTACAACCTCTCCAAGTTACTGCAACTTTACGCGATGATCAAGCTAGCCGCCCTCGTCGACTCGACGAGCGATCGCTCTTCCTCGATTGCGGTCAACGCCCTCGACCCGTGTTTCTGCAAGACCGGCATCATCAGCGAGTCGACCGGGCTGGCCAGGGTGCTCTTCAAGATCTTCGAGGCGATCACCGCCCGCACCGCCGAGGAGGGTGCCCGGCTAGTGGTCCAGACGGCCGCCGCCGGGCGCGAAACCCACGGACGGTACATGCGCGCCGGCGGCGTGCAGGCCTATGCCCCCATCGCGGCCGACGAGCGGCGGGCCACATACGTGTGGGATGCGCTCTGCGGGAGGCTGGAGGCCATCCAGCCTGGTATCATGCAGAATCTGTGTTGAGGAGGCCGGTTGAGGGTAGAATGCTGAGCTCATAGGAGTGTGTGGTGACATGAGGAAAGTGGGTGCGATGAAAATTTGTTATTCTGAATATGCGACTGGATAGAATATTCTGCAAGTGATTTTGAAGACGGTTGCTGGTAGTATTTGCGCACCATTATAGGCATGTGGTTTGGTGGATCAGAATACTATCATGTCCTTCACTTTAACCACCATCGTTGGATTTCTTATCATCTGCATTCTTCGCTGTCCAAAGCCAGGTCACAACCCTACCAACCTAACATAATTAAACCCAGGCACAGGCACAGGACAAAGCAGAAGAACAAAACAACGCCATACGCCAACGCCAACAGTATAGGGAAAAAAACAAAAATATAACCAAGGGTCTAGCTCGTTGTACCTGTGGGAAGATATTCCTCCGCTTCCTTCCAATATCGAGAGTCTGGGCGGTGGGTAATGCCTGAAGAAATGCCGGAGTAATGTTTTACCACCGTTCCTGAGTGAAGTAAATTGAGATTAGACGACAATGTAAGAATGTTTGCCGTACATGAAAGACGTACCGCACTAAGTTGGTGCGCCGGTGTTCTGGTCGCATCCAGCATACCTAGCGAATCAGACACATCCACGCTCCAAGCAGTTGTTGGTGCACCTGCCGCCCCCTTTGGGGCTGATCGGATATCTTGAAGCCCGCCTCAGATTTCTGGACGTGCGAGCAGTGATGTCGGATAGTGCAATGCGAGGAGATTGGAGAATCGATGGGCATCTGGATGACCGGCATCTGGAGGACCCGTTGCGCTTGGCCGACTAGAGGAGATGGTTCAGGAGGTGCAGCGCTAGCTGCAAAAAAGTGGCGAAGTCGAGAGACTTGCCCCAAAACTGGAACTCTGAGTCAGGGGAATGTCTGCACCGGGGATGCACATGCATGTTGAACGGTGTCTGCTGGATCTGGACGGGTGGAGCTCAACAGTGGTAGTTATCTCCCGTGGTTATCAGGCTACATGAAGCATTTAGTCTGGTCCCGAGTGATCTCAATGAATGCCTGTAACCCCGAGGGAAACTCTTCGGGCTGCGTTCTAGATATTAGGCGATATAGAGTGACAGCTCTTCTTCAGGGCCACCCCGGCACGTTTACTTCCAAAGCAGGAAAATGAGCTGTCATACAAGATTTTCGACAATAGCAGTAGTCCAAGAAGCTAGGGACGAATGACGAGTAGCCTCGTATAATGGGGAGAACGTTATCCCATGCCTAGAGACGCAACTCCCTATTGTGGAGCGACTAAGTCGTCGGGCAATAGCTCCCGTATGGGAGAAGCAAAGGTAGCGAACGGGTAATTGAACTACTCGTCGTGTTAGAATGTGAGAACACAGTCTAACTAATAGACAAAGTCGGGTTGGCAGTGTCTTGAGGCATAGCAGACAGACGATGTAGTGGAACTGGGCGTGAGCAGGTCGACGGCCGGAGATGACTTGGCAATTACAACAGGCGTGAAGACATACCTGTGATAACGATTCATTTGTACCACACACATCAATATGTCTCACCGATGGGGACTAGACTACGTATACAGACGAGATTATTGGAGGTATTCTGTTAAGCGATACGATTACGCCAAGCCTGTCACCTAAGACAGAGAGCACATTGGTCAATGAATACGGACAGGCCTGAGACATCCGTCGATACAGAGTCTTGCTTGAAGAGGGGGCTGGGCGTGTTGTTGAGTATTATAGCTTGTACGCCAACACTCATGCTATCAGGCTTGGCCGATCTTCCATATTTCCGATGATCAACTGGTTAGTGCAATGCAGTCAAGGATGAGTTGATAACGGCTGCTGCATTGTTTTTGGTTTCTAAAGCCCAGTTTTGAGCCCAACTCACATCCAAGACAGTATGGCCGAGTGGTCTAAGGCGATAGACTAGAAATCTATTCTCTTCGGAGGCGTCGGTTCAAATCCGACTGCTGTCGTTTTTTGGTTTTGTTGGTTTCTGTTGTTGGGGCTGGTACCCGCACAGCAACGGCCGGAGCCAATGACTCTTACTTAACCAAAGCACAGACTTATATGTATCAACGATACCTGAGTAGGTGGTTTTGGACGCCACTATACAGCCTCACAGCTGGTTGCCGATGAATTGAAGTTGAAATGATACGATAATTCCCGCACCATTGAATCTTATACCGCTTGACAGGATCCCTGTTCACCCGCTGGTTTAGAACTCAGACCCAAGGTCAATTTATTGACTCCGCCATGTCTCAATAACCATGTCTCAATAAGGTGGCTTCTGTCGGTGAGAATTAAAGAGGTATGCACGCGTTCCTATTTTGTCGGGACGGATACTCCTTCGGCAATCGACTCCAGTAATGCTATCTCGCTCTCAAAAATGTGTTGAGGGAATTGGAGAGTGGCCCGTTCATGTCGAGCGAGAAGGGTAGGGCACAATTCTGGAACTCACAACTACCGGCCATTTCCACCCTGAGACATCGATGGGCGGACCATCACCTCATGGATTTGTACAGACTCGCAACGATGAAGAATACGCGATTGTGAGACTCAGACAGGAGCAGGAGGGGTATGTTCCACCGGCTGCGAGACTGTGGTGACTCCCTTTCTCAGCCTGCCCTTTTTCAATACGGTGGAAGCTTGTCGCAGTTGAATGTCTGGTCGCAGTGTCAAACTTGTCTCAAATTCGCCGTGATTGCTCTGGCCCGCACCGTATCCCCCTATCAACAAGATTGAGTCACATTTCACCCATCGGTGGCAGGGAAGAGTGGTACATGTCGCCCGATGTATCCCCTATATCCTTCCGTGTCCCCTACAGCGATTCTCCAAATGTCATACTACCTCGACCTCCATCAAGCATGAAGCGCAGCAGACGCAGCTGGACGACCAAAGAGGATGAGCTCCTCCGCAAGCTGGTTCAAAGCTGTGGGTGCATGGAGACAGCTCCCACAGTACCTTCTCCACCTTGCCTCATCCCGCACTCTGACACTTTCTTCTGCTACAGCACTCGGCACCTCGGACACGGTCCTCTGGAGTGAGCTCGCCCGGAAAGTCCCTGGCCGCTCGAACAAAGACTGCCGCAAGCGGTGGTGGAACACGCTGGCCGGCGGCAAGATCAAGGGCGTCTGGTCGCCGGAGGAGGACAAGCGACTCAGCGAGGCGGTGCGGAAGCATGGCAACAACTGGACTCAGATCGCCTCCCTCGTGGGGTCTCGCTGCGCCGATCAGTGCGCTAGTCACTGGCGGCAGGTGTTGCGGCCCGATGTCAGTTATTGCAATTGGACTGAACAAGAGGTAAACATTCATTCTCGATACTACTTTGAGCTCGACAGCTGACACGAACCGGGAGGCGAGCAGGACGAAGAACTTCTCAAGGCGGTCCAAACGCATGGCACCAACTGGTCGGCGATTGCGGCATTCCACGACCCTCCGCGCACGGGGCTGAGTTTGAAGAATCGATACACGAGGATTCAGGCGAAGGGGGAGAGTGCAGCTCCATCTGTGCTGAGCAAGGGCCCTCCTGCATCTGGTGACAGGCACAACCGGGTGGTGAAACCGAGGAGGAAACGCAGCTTCCCACAAAGGGGCATCGCTCGGGACTGCGACGAGCAATTGAGAGAAGGTAGGACCTTAGATGATTGCTTCGACAGCCAGGACGCGCAGAAGGAGCTTCTGCATCTCGTCGAGCTCAAGCAGCCAGCTTCCCGGTCGCTTCGATCCCCCAACAACGCCTCCAGTAATTTTCAGGAGACATCTACACCGTGGGTGGGCCAAGGGACCATCGACCCCCGCCTGATCCTGCGCTGCCCGTTGAGCACAGAGGATTTTTGGGTGGATAGCACACCCAATCTGACAGTGTCTGCAATTGGCGGCTCCCGGCTGCCGTCCTTCGACCGGGTGCTGGACGCCACGCAGGCTGAGAACGATTGGGACCGTCAGATGCTCTTGTTCCCTTCTGGTCAGTTGAACAGCCATTCTCGCAGATACCGCCTGGTGTGCTTACCCTGCAGTAGACGAGTACCCGACGGACAACAGTTTCCGGACCGTGCACGAGGCACTCTACCTTGCGCCTGACCCGTGCAGCCTGAGGAGTTCCCGACACTCCTCCACAGAACCGCTGCATCCATTCCTCACCATGGCCGAGCTCGACTTAGTGCCCCGGGCGTCCTCTCCACGTGTCTCAGTCCCCGCCGCCAGCTATGAGAAAACAGCCGAGACGAACCTGCACCGGGTCTCGCTCAATCTCTCGTGTACGACGAGCCAGCTGAGCAGCATCATGTCCCGGGTTGCCGACACCGGGGCGGTGGTGAATATGACGGTGGACACGGAGTAGAGAGCGGGAGTTATTTACGAGGTTACTGCATCCGTGATCCATCTTGTGCTGAGAAGGATGTTCTGATTATTATTAGCTATTCTGAATCCTGGAAATTAGAAATGAATATCTCGTCTCCTAAATATCTATACATCATCATCCTTCTTGGTTTCTTCTTCTGTGTGCTGGTTACATTAACATATGTTTTTCTTTCTGAACACCGAACCAGAGAAACCTCAGCAGAATCATCCCACAAGGCTCTTTGACCGTAACACCCAACCACTAACACCTAAGCTCAATCAACGCCCGCAAACCCGTGCAAGAGACCCCATCCCAACAACAACAACAACAACAACCACAATTCACCCCACGACGCCCCCAAAAAGCACCTCCTACTTCGCCTCCGCCCGCGGCAACGCCGGCCTCGGCGTGACTGGCGCCACCCAGAAGACGGGGTACCGGCGCCGGCAGTTATTGACGAGCAAGGCGACGGCGAGCAGCATGGTGGAGGAGAGCAGCACGACGGGCAGGTAGTACCAGGAGAGCTGCCAGACGGCCTCGTTGGTGGCGGGGAGCAGGGCGGTGGCGCCGGCGGGCGGGTGGGTGGTCTCGGTGACCTGCATCACGACGACGGCCAGCGCCGACGAGAGCGCGGCGGCCAGCCAGCGCAGGGACTCGAACCGCTCCGCGTCGGGCATCAGGCTGAACAGCTTGGTCACGCACAGGCCGACCAGGGCGCTCAGGAAGTGGCCGAAGATGAGGGCGCGCGGCTGCGCTAGCGGGCTTTCGATGGCGCCGTAGACGAGGACGGCGGAGGCGCCCTTGATTGTTGTTAGTATGATCAAGGGACAGGGGCAAAAGGAGAACGAACATAGGAGGCGATAATGCCCGGTACGTGACGGTCCAGGAAGTAGTGGGAGTAGTTGAAGATGGCCTGGACGACGCAGAGCCCGCAGAAGGCGGAGATGAACGACCACAGCCAGACTTGATACTTGGGCAGGGGCTGGGGAGGGCTGGCGCGGTAGCCGAGCCAGTGGCTGAGCCACGGCGGGAGGCGGGCCAGGAACTCTTGCTCATTCATGAGTGGTTCGGAGAAGAATAGGGGGCTGTTGCAGTGGAGAGGATGTCGACAACTGAGCCCTGGTGTCTTTGAGTAGCATACAGGTGTGTCGTCGATTCTGTCCGGGTGAAGGGGTATTTCGAAGGAGTACTTCGACGTTTATGACGGTGAGTGGCTGTCTGTCACGGGGATGGTCGAGGATGGGCGAGGATCAGCAACCCAGGGATTCTATTACCTAAAGCAATGCTGCAACGATCGGTTGACTGGTAAACTGGTTGAATGCAGCTCCAAACTACCTACCCCAGCCCAGCCTGCCCTGGAATTTAAGAACTCGGTTAATGCGCAGGGCGCAAGGCAGGATTTGCCGGTGGGTCCGGCTTCGGCAAGGCTCGGCAATTGCTCGGCTGGCTTCTCCACACTCGATTTCCAGGGTCCGATAAAGTATGCAGCAGCATGACGGAATTCATTTTTCATCAACTTGACCTACCTCTATCGAATCTGAGCATCGATAGGATTTCTATAGAGTCATAAAATTTCCACTAATTTCTCCACCCGGCCCAAACCCGCCTACTCGAGGCCCACACCCCGCGAACCCCCTTGGCGATCTCCAACCGCCCATCGTACAGCGGATACACCACCACCGCCAAGAACGCGCAGAACTGCCAGATGATCGCCACCGTCGTCCACCCGGCGAAAAACGACTTGGTGAAGATGTAATCCCGGTACAGCGGCATCGGCCACAGCACAAAAGTGATCAGCACGAGCGCCACGAAGGTGGCCCACGCGATGCGCGACCAGCGGTACAACTCCCGCAGGGTCTCCGGGGAGAACGGGTGGATGACCTCGTCGAGGCTGAGGCGGGACGGCGAGGGGGATGGGAAGTTGGAGGTTGGGGAGGTGGCGGATACAAAGACGCTCTTGGTTTCGGGCTCAGGTCCTTCTTTTTTGTCCTCGCGGGATTCGTGGTTGGGGGTGGGTTGCGACTCGGAGACAGAACTCTGATCGTCGGCGACGAGCTCGATGCGGAGGAACTCACGCCAGTCGAATGTGTAGGGGCGGTAGAGGGAGATCAGCACCGAATAGAGGGCGGGCGAGAAGAAGGAGCCGATGGCGCCGTACAGCGCCGGCAGCCCCTCGCCTGTCGTGGTCATGTCCACGCGGCCATACAGCGACTTGGCCGTCGCCAGCCAGATGGCCAGGCCTGTGAAGAAGCCCAGCACGGGCGCGAGGATGGCGGCCAGGCGGGTCTGGCCGGACCAGAATAGGGTCAGCCCCAGCGGGATGATGCCGGGGCACGAGAGGATGGGCCGGAAGTAGCCGATCCAGGTCATGTTGGCGCCGCCGTAGTTGAGGGCGATGGAGATGCCCGTGATGAAGATCGCGTGGAAGACGACGGCGATATGGCTGACCTGCAGCAGCCGGCGGTCCCCCGCGGTCGGGTTGATGTAGGTCTTGTACATGTCGAAGGAGAGGATGCTGCTGACCGCGATCATCGAGGAGGAGACCGTGCTGGTCAGGGCCATGAAGAGCAGCACAAAGAAGGCCACCATCCCCGCGTTGCCCAGCAGGGCTTTCACGAGGTAGGGCATCACCATCCCCGTGCTCACTTCCGTGGCCGTGAGGGGACCGGGGTAGGTTGGGAAGATGGGAGTGTTGTGCAGCGCCCGCGCAGACAGCCCGATCACCGTGCCTAGACCCCACGGAATGCCGAACACGGCGACGGCGGCCAGGTTGTAGGCCGGTACGGTGGAGTTGACTTCACTGGCAAATGACTTCTGCCAGAACGCAGTGTCCTGCGGGTTGCGGTTAGATTCATGTCTCGCAGAGAGAAGTCGACTGCCGGCACTTACCATGACAACCAGCGCGAGGTTGCCGAACTTCAAGATGAGGCCCCAGATAATGGCATCTTTCGATTTCATGGTAAGCAGAGAGCCCTCATAGTTTCCAGAAATGTAATTCTCGCTCGCGGTTGCGACCACTTTATCATAGAGACCAGACAACCCGCCCACAGCGTCGTGAGTCAGGACTGAGAGCGTGAAGTAGATGATGAGAATCAAAGCGACAGTGGTGTGAAGGAAGTCCGTGAGGAAAGTTGCCTTCAGGCCGCCGACGGCAGTATAGAGCACCACTATACCATTGGAAATCAGCACCACCTTACTCTCCGCCGAGTGTCTTTGCTTACCTCCCAGGGGAATCAGAATGGTGGCAGCCACAAAGTTCATTCCCGAAACGCCGTGGATGAGCTGCGACCCCGTCAAGATCATCGAAGCGCAGCCGAACACATTGTTGGTCAGGTTGAGAATCATGTAGATGATGTGGCCCACCCATCCGTATCGCATGCGGATGATTTCCAGGGAAGTGTGGGCATAGGGCACGCGGATCTTGGCCATGACACCAAGCGCTGCCATCAATGCGATCTGGAAGCAGAGACCGGATCCCCACCACTGTCAAGGTTGAGTGTCAACGCCCGCTCGTCCAAGGTTAGGGCTGCATGCCTTACCAGGGGAACCGCTAGTCCGTAGCGATAGCACATCGCGGCCGACAAAACCGTCTCATTGATCCACATCCAGGATGAGAAGACCGCTGAAGCCGTCAGTCCTGTGCCAACCGAGCGATTGGCGACCATGAACATCTCAGATGTTCCTGAATCCTCGGCTAGATACGCTCTCTGGATTTTGATCGCCACTAGGATCACCCCGCAGAAGAGGACGCCCAGGCCAATAAGGAGACCATAGGCCGTGCCCTGGGGCACCAGATCTGTTACCGTCATGATGGATAATATGTGGGTGGTTGTTCAATGGCCGTTGTCGACGGTTGGTTTCTTGGTGTTGATACCGGAGCATCGATTTAAGTATAGACTGTGAGGCGATAGAGTTTGGCCATTGCTCTACTGTGAGTGGTTTGTCACGCTGTTCTTGGCCTCAATTGCGTTATGCATGTACCGGCCGAGAAAGAAGTAGGGCAGGCAGATCTCGAGCTGTGGGTGATTGATAAAGCTTGTTAGTGGGTGCTGCTCGTGATGGCGTGCGCCAAGCTAACTATGGCAACAACCACCACCACCTACAGGGGTTTCCCATTTTTTAGTCATGGTTTCATCATCACATTTTGCGAGTGATACAAACCTGGTATGTAGTCCCCAGCGTACTTTAAACTATTCGTGTTAGTCGTGTTGCAGTCTGTGGAAATTAGTGGGCTATAATTGGTGGCGACAGTGAGCTGCACACACTGCTACATTTCCTGTGAATATGCCAATACCGACTACCCTTAATTCGAATCTGCACATCTACCGGTCCAAGTTTCCGATGTTCAGTGCCTCTTCTGATATCAGTTGTGCTTCCCAAGGACGTTTAAATTCTTCTCAGGAGTACTCTCCCGTCCTACCCTGACTCATACAGTGGCTTCAAGTCTACCGACTCAAGCCCTAGGTGTTCTTCATCTAGCACGACCATGTGAACATTCCGACTAAACTAGACTTTTGACGGGCAAAACCCGCCCCAACCATTCTGACAGCCGTGAGTTGCACTCATCCACAGTGACTGTAATCGAGTCGTGGTCCACTCAACCAGGAGATCGATAGCATTTAGGATCTTATAGATCTCTAGGTGTGGGGTCAATTGACTGCTACACCTGGTAAAGTAAAACCAGCCTGTGATCGTCAGAGCGATAGATCAAATCAAACATCGTCCCATCTAACGACAAAATCCACCCTCTATGTCACCCCGACTCTAACCATGGATTCTAACCCGAATGCATCGCATCTTGCCCTCCCCTCCAGCCTGTCAACTCTAAGCTACTAGTAATTTTCAAGCATCATTACTCCTCGATCGGCACCCCACCCAATTCAGCCTCCTCCACCCCGCGTCCGAACTTGATATACCCCAACTGAATCTCCAACGCCGTCCGCCGCCCGACATCCCAGACCACCTGCCCCCAGCACTCCCGTTCCAACTCCTCATTAATCTCCATGATCAGACCCACCCACCGCTCCATCGCCCTCCTCTCTTGCTCTTCCACCTTGCCCGGACCATCACCGGCCCCCGCCCCCTCCCCTTGGAAACAAGCAGTCCCCACAAACCGACCGAGCGTGACGTGCGCAATCGGCGCCGTATAACACGTATCGATGCTCACTCCGGTGGTCAGCACCCTCGTATGCAGCTGGTTCCGGAGATGATGATACGTGTACGGGCTCTCGTTGTCGTCGTCGTTGTCGTTGTCGTCGTCGTCGTCCGCAGCGGCAGGGACGAAACTGATCGCCACGCCTAGCTTGTCGAAGAGGAGTTTCGGCTTGACGAGGCGGGCGATGTGCCGCTGGTCTCGGTGGTGCTCGTTGCGCGGGGTGTCGAGGAGCTCCTTGAGTTGCGGCTCGCCGATGTGGGCGTAGACCTCGCGGAGGTGGGCGATCGGGTGGCGGTGGGAGAGCTCGATGACGGAGAGATGGAGGGATGCAGGTGGGGTGAGATGGAGGTCTGGGTCGCTGGGTCAGATATACTTCGAAACTACATGATGAATAGACAGATGCGGTGGGTTTGGAGTCCCATTCTTTGTCTACTGGAGGGTAGGGTAGCAGCTCACCAGGCCCTACCAATCGCGACAACCGGCGCTGGATATCGAGGAGCAGGCGCATGATCGGTGGGTCGGGACGCGTCCAGATGACCAGGCAATTCACATCTTGCTGGCTCAGCTGCTCGATCTCCTGGGCTCCGTCCGCCTCGTCGGTCTGCAGCTTGAGGTAGCGGATGAGCGCTTTGTCGGGAGTGATGCGCTGCGATGCTGGTGGGACAGGATGGCTACTATTACGGTCACCAGTGCTGCCCTCTCGTCCACTCGGGCGGAGCAGGCCAATCGATCGCTCTAGGCTTGCGGTTCGGAAGGATTCGTAGGCTTCTTGTATCTTGGCCTGTGCGGTGGGAGAGCGTTAGTCTGGAAGGCTGGCTATAGCACCGCGGTAATATAGATAGACACCACCACATACGGGATTGTTGGCACATTCCGGATGGTCCAGAAGTTCTTGATACCAATTGCGAGTGGAAGGTTCCCCGGGCTGTTGGGGAGGGAAGGTGAAGAAGGGCACCTGCAGGCTGGCAGCGTCACCCATTATTTTTAGTTTATGGGATGGTGTGAAGGGGTGAAGATGCAGGGGAAGGGGAAGGACTGCGTGCGGGGATTTGCGGTGGTGATAAGGCTTGAAGCAGGCGGATGATTGCAGCCTCTCGTATTCATGAGGCGGTGCGGACTTGGCGCATGTTGGCGCATGTTGGCGCATGTTGGCGCATATGCCAGCCTCATGCAGCTAAATCCATGTTTGGCTGCCTCACAGCCTTACTGCAATGGTGATAAGGCTCATAAGACCTCTTTTTCCTTTCGCGTCGCCATGTCTGGATCGTCGTTTGCCGCATACCGACTCTCTGCGATAGTGGTTGTGTTATGGGATGTCGATACACTCGCAGTACCCCTTCTCGCTGCCATCCTACTGTTCGGGCCTGGACGATGGAAGCTTCTGCCAGCGAGAGCTGAAGGAGGAGTCCCGATCGTGGCGATCCGAGAAATATGCGCCCGTCTCGAATGTGATGGTCCTGGAGCATGACCATGGCCTGGGGTCGGCCCGCTTTTGCGATGATGCAGAGATGGATCGACTATTAGCTGTAGTTACCCCTCTCTATCCATCTATCTAACTTCTGCCCGGTCGCAAAGAGTCCATCCGGTACGTCCGGTATGCTAACCCTAAGCGCAGGCAGAACACCATCCCCAGCTCCGAATTGTTCTGCTGCAACCGACCCCACAGGAGAGACTACTCCACACCATCGACGACCCTGCGGTCCTGAAGGCACTGCTCACCAACGAACTCATCAGCGATCGGGTGACTGAGCCCGCGAACGAGAAGACTCTCGACCAGAGTGAGGACGGCGTGCCGTCGCAGCTTAACATCACACGCAGCTGCCTTCTGAAGATCCTGACGCGATACGACATCGCGCCCGCCGCGGCCTCCCACATCCGTGGCCAGGAACAGATCTTCGGCTCGCGACAGCAGCGCGATGAGGAAGGGAAGATGCGCTCCTTCGGTGAGTGAAGGACTTGCCAATGGCAACATAGACCAATCGTCTCATGGATATTTTTTTCGGTGCTCGTGTTCTAGAATTCTGGTACGCAATCCGAGCCCGCGCCTACGTGCGACGATTAGGCAAGGAAGCCGATCTCAAGATGACGATCGTGACGCGATACGACGCGCGGTCGCAGTCGACGCTCGTCCTACTAAAGTACCGATCCTTCAACGACCTGCCGCAGCGCCTGCACGAGGAGTTGGTGGACAACCTGCAGGCGTTCGTGCGGGAGCCCACGACGGCCGCGCTCGTGAAGAACCCGTTCATCACCTCGGTGATGCACTTCAACCCGACCATCCAGTACTTCCGGCGGGCTGCCCGCGAGCCGCGCGACACGATCCGCGACGAGGAGGCGAGGGTGCATGGGGGCATGGACGAGTTCGCTCGCATCGACCTGCACAAGCTCCATCTCACCCTGACCAGCCTCGACCAGGATAAGATCCAGATGAGCTTCATTCTGGGCGTGATTGCGCGGCTGCGCATCCAGCACGAGACCTTCCAGACCCTCGTCGAGGGCAAGGCGGGCGTCCCCGAGCGCGACTGGCTATATTTCCGCATGGAGGAGGAATTCGATCGCTTCGAGAATCAGATCGCCTACTTCAAGTCGTCGGTGGAGGATGTTGCGAGGCGGGTGGAGCGGCTGCTGGAATTGGTGAGAAGCCCCCTATTCAATAGTATCATATCGACGACTTACACTAAACAGCTGTTCAACATGAGCTCGCGGATCAACACTCAATCCAGCACGAAGATGACCAAGTATGCCATGCATGAGAGCGCCTCGATGAGCACCATCTCGGTGGTGACCATGCTCTTCCTCCCTGGAACCTTCATTGCCGTGGGTGCCCTATCTGCAGTCTCGACGGTGAAAACTAGGGCTAACAGGCACACATCCACCCCCAGACCATACTAGGCACCAATATTATCGCTGGGCCGTCTCGCTCAGAGGGAGACACCCCGGGCCACTCGGAGCTTTACATCTCGTCGCAGTGGTGGATCCTGCTCGTCCTGACCGTCTCGCTGACTGTCGTCACGATGGGCGGGTGGTATATGCTGCGGAGGAAGACCGCCCGGTCGATCGAACATATGATCTCCGCCCAGAATGCAGTCTGATCCTGTCCGGCTGGTAACGAAGGATGTCTTGTTTTTGGCGTTCATATGGCTGACATTCAGCGGGCGTTGCTGATTTTGAGATCTGGGGTGTTGCTACGCACTTGGTGCCTTGAATCGATTTGATTTGTTGTTGTTCTTCTTCGCTTCGTATGTACAATACAGATCAATATCGGTGTCTGATGACACCTGGTCCTACTGCAGGTCCCGTACCAAGACCCCCCGATATCTCATCTTCCCTTCCCTCAGAGTCTTCATCGCGTCCTCAATGCCCGCTGGCGTCATGGGGAAGGTCATAGTCGTGGGGGTGATATTCTTCCTCGCTGCAAACTCGAACAGGGACCGGATATTCTGGCGGGAGGCCACCAACGACCCTTGGATCTTGATGCCACGAAGGAAGAGGCGGGCCAAGGGCACCGGGGCGGGCTTCAGGGTAAGCGTGAGAGGGTAGATGCTGCCGCGAGTCGCCACCAATGGCATCAAACTAGCGGTGTGTCAGTAAGACCATTGGATGCAGTCTGGGTGCTAATGGCACAAGTTCACAAGGAGCGAAGACAGGGTCGACAGCCACTTACGAAGAATAGTCCACATCAGCACTCCCACAGAGCAGAAGATGCTTCACCTGACGGAACCCCGCGGGCACCGGGCCCCCCGACTGGAAGACATGGAACTCCGACGCCCCGTAGTCCATCGCCTCCTGCCTCTTCGCCTCGGAGCTGGACAGCACCACAGCCTGGCACCCCATGGCGCTGGCGAGCTTGATGGCCACGTGGCCGAGGCCGCCGACGCCCATGATCCCCACCCGGTCCGTCGCCCGCACCCCGTACTGCATGAAGATCTCCCACACACTGGCACCCGCACACATCAGCGGGGCGGCGTGGATCGAGTCGTACCCGTCGGGGATGCGGTAGACGCAGTTCTCGTCCCAGACCGCGCCGTAACTGAACGAGCCGTTATCCCGGTCGTGGAACCCGTACATCTTGACGTTCGGGCAGTACTGATCATGGCCTAGGAATCTCGGGGTAAGTTGCCTTCTCGGACACACCACCGATAATAAAAACGAAAAAAAAAAAAAAAAAAAAAAAAAAAACACGTTGGAAAAGACCTACCGGTCGCGCATTCCTTGCAGGAGGCGCAGATACTGTGCGTATAGCCGA